ATCACACAAAAACTAAATACTGCATTAAACTTAGTACAAATTTGACTGCTATCCATTTCTTACTCCAGAATTGCAGACATCTCTAAGTATTTCTTCCTAACATCAACTTCTAATAAGTGACGACCATGAAGTCTTAAGTCAGAGATTTAAAAAAAAAAAAATAGGATGGTAACGTCCCTGAAACTTTTTATTTAAATGAGATCTTTGGAATAAGTTAACATTTTAACATTAAAAATGTTTCAAAAACGTGGGAGATTTTAAAAGCTTTGTGTGAAACTTGTACCCTATCCTCCCTGAAGTCAGAAGTCTTTTTATTAACTCCATTTCCTAAATTCAAAATCCTCAAAACAAATACACTACATACTATATTTTAGACAATCAGAATCATGATTCTCAGCACTGAACACAAAGTGCATTCTTGCATACTTCAGTAATACATTTCTAGGTTTAAAAAAGGTCAAAGCCTGGCAAGAAAACTCCGCCACAACACTGCAAACCCTCCAATATTGGAATTAATGTCATACAATGTAGTGTATTAGATAAATATCAGACAAAACATCACCATTAAAATAGCTCAGGAAAATGTTCATGGTTTGCAAGGGGTTTTATTCTTCCCAGAATTTTTTTTTTTTTTTTTTTTGCTTAGGACATAGAAGGAAAATATACGGAACCCATCATCTTCCCATTTCTACATAATTTCCTTCGTTCAGTCTATTTCATGCTTTATGTTTCAGAAACAAATGTTCATGAATTTCATGGGGAGAACAAATCATGTTTTCCTGAAGAAAAGCAGTTTGGAGAGTTGAAATAAAAAAATATGGGGAATTTGTCATTTCTATAAATTATGTGGTCTTTGTGCATTCTTCTAGTGCTTGTGGTATTGAGAAATGGAAATTCCAGTCCTGATTCTGCCATTTATTTTATTTAATAAAGATTATCTGTCCTTTCAATACAGACTAGTTTGAGACTATAGAAAAAATCTGGTATGGTATACAAAATCCTGGCAACAACATATTGTGGAAAATACTAATAGTGTCACTATTGCATCAGAGCTGAACTACTCTATCAAGCATAATTTGGTTGGTTCCTGTTAACATATGAATATAAATTCAGTTTTAACACGTGCAAAAAACTGAATTTATGCTCTTCTCCAAAGCCAAATTATTAAAGTACCTACATGTTTATATATCTCTGCTTCGTAAAAGATCAAACTGAAAACGTTATCATGAGTTTTAAAAACAAGTATACTTTAACCCAGGAGTTTTGAGAATGTATCTTGAAGGAATAATCAAAGATATACAAGGGTACATAATCATTTATATTAAAATAAAGAATGGAAAGGAAGGCCCTATGCACCCAAAATGAGGATTTAATACATTATGATTCATCTACAACTGGAGGGGCTTTAAAAAAATGGTATGAACCTATTATCATAAATGAAAAAAGACTACAAAACAGTATACATTATATAACCCCATTTTTAAATGTTCCATCATCATTTATAAATAGGCTATCATCCTGTCTTTTTAATTTTTAGCTTTTCTACAATACACTATTACATGTGATTTAAAAAAAATTTTTTTTTAAAGACCAAATACATTCATACTTCGTGCAGAAATATTTTTTCAGGTTAAGTGAAGGCTGACAATATGCTCAATAATCTGCAAATATTCCACAGGGGCTGGATATGTAAAGTATATACTATATAAAGTACGTTTTAAAAATAATTTTACCCAGTACATTATTAACCAAAGTCCTCTACTATTTCATAACCAGATTTCTTTAACTAGATTTTTATCAAGACTTATGCACTTTGAGATGATAATGTGTTTTCTTGTAGAAGCAGTGTCACAAGTGGAAGACAGGTTATTACCAAAGCTTATTTAACCCACGTTATAGATGATAGAAAGTATATCTGCAATGAAAACAAAAAAACAAATACAGCAATATTTATCAATCAGTGAAATTAAATATGAAATGAGCATGCTGAATGCTGAAAAAGCAGGTCAAATCAGGAGAACAAACACTGAGGTGAAAACTGAAAATTATAGAGGGAAGTTCTGGAAACTTTCAAAGGCTTTGGAGGTTGACAGCATAAGCACTTTACACCAAATTTCACTTCAGAATATACGGCAGTCTTTCTCTGACATCACAATAGTATTTTATCCTTATTACTCATGGTAAGGAGAAACTTCCTGGCCCCCAAAGAGAATAAAGAGATAAATCCTAGCAGTAAAGAGGCAGGAATTATGGAGAAGGGTATGGAGGACTTGTATATATGTTAGAAAAGGAGTCATTAGGCCAATAACACATTGGTACCAAAGGTGAATTAGAACAATTTAAAGTGGGAATGGAGGGTAGAGAGGCAACCTGGAGGCACTTGTGTGTGTATATATATATATATATATTTATATTTTCAGAATTCTCAACTGTGCAACGCCTGAGGGCTGCAAATTTTTCTTTCTATTCCATATTAATATAACTGATGCAAGATGCAGGACAATTTTAAAAAGTTAACAACTGTTTTTAGTAAGACTATTTTATTTAAAAATTTTTCAAAATATAAAAATAATAAACATTATGGATATTTAACAAACAAAACATAATTCAACTATAAATAATAAAAATGTTGACAACCCCACATAAACATATAATACTATAAACATTCTAAGCATACAAGAGTAGTTTTCTAGTTCAAGTTTTACCTTTTTCAGTTCAAGTTTTATTATCACTTTGAAAAATAAACAAACAAAAAAAAAGCTGCTACAGCTTAACCAATTACTTTCGCTCCACTCAAAGAGCAGGGAATTTTTTCCCCATGCCAACACACATTCGTGAAATGGGATACTTATGGGCACAGGCATTAAAAACTGGAACAATCCAGTCTCCAGACAAGAAAAGACTCCTTTGGTGTTTTTAGGTTCAACAATCCACAGAAACTGAGTAAAACTAAACCACTTATTAAAGGAAATCTTGTGCCAGATAACATGTTCTGAAGTAATATCATACCCAAAACAGGTTCAGGATTCTGAGAATCAAAAGTAAACATCCATGAATGCTTTGCTGATACTTAAAAATTGTATCTTAAGAACATTCACTAAGGTGCTGGAATGAAGTCTTCTAGATGTAGAAAACAATCTACACATCAACGCAAAACTTGTGCAACGTAAATAATACATTCCTTTACAACTCATCAAATGTTCTATTAATACGTAAGAATTACCCTGCCTCCTGTTCAGTTAAAGACAGATGGGAATTTGAAGCAGAGTAGGATTACACCATATTTTAGGACTAGAAAAGTTTTCCACCTGAAATTTAGGAAAACTGAGCCATGCTGAATGTATCATTTTTTTTTTTTTATTCTAGCCAGATTAAAGTTCCTCTTACCAAAAGAGCTAAGGACAAACTGAAGAAATGATTTTCTTTTTTGGAAGCTGGGCACAAATAAGTATACTGTAATTCTGTACCATATCTTTAAAGTATGGGGTGTTTCTAACAGGCTGGGCTCTTTACCTGACTTACCACAGACCACTTTTATAATTATGCTGCTAGATTAGAATAAGTAACAAGTGATCATACATTAAAGCCTAGCGAAATCTAGATAACAGGTTCAAAAATGATATTGAAAGGTTTTTTTTTTAGCACCAATAACTTTTTCCTAAGACACTTGGGCTGCATCACTTTAAAGTATTATTTATCTTGTAAACAAGACCAAAAATATTCAGTTGATCTGTATTTTGAGCATAAATATTTATAAACTCTATTTAAAAAAAAAACAAATATAGCATGACTAGAGCTGCTAATAGTGTAAAATCTAAGTATATTGAAAAATATAAAGATATATAAAAGGCTTCCATAATGCAATCGTGCAGAGGTAAACCACTTCATTCAATTACATAAAAGTGATTCTGTACAGTTATCTACATATAGCTCCATGAGAATCCTACTCAGGAAAATGAAATAATGAAAATCCTTATCTTTAATTAATCAACATATAGGAATTTAAATATATAACTGACCTATTGGCTCTCACAGAAATTTTCCAAAAAGCACAATGATCTTAATGAGAATCAAATCATCTCAACTTCTGATTCCCAATGGCATGTTTAATTTTGTTTTGCTTTGTTTTTAATTTAAAAGCAAGGGAAAGAAAAAGAAAGATAACAAAGTAAAGTTGAGGGTGCTGGTATGTGGTCCACATCCAAGAACCAATCAAAATTGTTAACAAGTATGGTCTCTTCAGACTATGTTCTTTGGGTTTCCAACCTAGCAAGTAAATCACTATCATGGGGGAAGAGAATCTTCTTTCCTTGAAAAGAAAAAAATACTGAACTATTCTGGGAAATATCTTTGAACTCCTTGTGGCTATATGCTAGTTTGCAAATATGAACTAAAACAAAAGTCTAATTTTTAAAAATGCCCTGTACGCTACTGGGTCATAATTATATTAGAAGACCTTCCAAAATATGTACTTTTCCTTTAAACACAAGCCTAATATTAACCAAGCTATTGTCAACTAATGTGGATCAAAGTAATTTACGTTATGATTGATGTGTTCATTCTTTTTTTCATGAAGACAAATGCACTGCACACTCAAGAAAAAGAAGTGTTTGCAGAATAGTCAACTTTGTGCAAAAAAATTGTGAAAATATGAGCATGGCTGACAGAAACTAAAAAAACAAGGGTGAATAAAATCAAGTATAATTTGGACTTTTCTATTAAAGTATAACTTCCAAATTTCTCAAATGCCTCATGAGAGTCTATGAAGGACTACTCAGAAATTAATTTTCTGAAAGCTTCTTTATATGATGCTCATTACAAAAAGGGTACTTGGGGTGAATATTTAGAATCAGATTTAATTGCTCTCTTTATAAATAATTCTAAGCCATACTGCTTATAAATAAACATTATGAACATACACCTTTTAAGACAGGAAAACTATAGTCTTTAACAATGTTAGACACACAACACAATTTCCCCTTGCTTTTAAGATTGTCTTTGATGTCTTGATTGCAAGTGAGGAAAATACGGGAAAACTGCGTAAATTAGACATTTAATAGATATTTCTCAGTATTTATAATCCACAGATCATCCTGTATTACTAGAAAAGAAAGAAAATTATTCTCCTTGTTGGTTGTGAAGAGCTAAGAAATTTTTTAAAAAAATTATTTGGTTAAGTGGCCTTGGCAACAAATTCAGTTAAGTATACTGAGAAGAAATAGGCAAGTTATTACAGTGTATAAAAAAGTATTTTACCAACTATTCAAAATCTTTTAAGTGACTATCCTAACCCCAGAAATGTATCCTAAAACCCAGAAAAATTAAAAACAGACCCATGCTTAACTTTTTAATCATTTTCTTCATTCTAAATTGTTCATGCTAATGAACACAGTATCATGGCTTTATAGATTTCCTAGACACAATTTTCAACTTGGCTGCGACTGAACTTATCTCATTTTAGGAAGCCAAGAGGTCTTTTCCCTTCTTAGTGTTTAAAAAATAAATGGCTATAAAGTAAGGGGAGAACACGTTTAAGATAAGAGCAAGGTCAGACAAAGCACACACTCAGACATACTTCTGGACTCAGATGTAGCAATTAGAGAACTGCGAAAAGACAAAAGGCGAATTATAGTACATGTAAACATCTATTCAAATTGATAAAGAGGAAACATAAAATGATAGGATGATATTCTAACAGTCGTCTCCAGACAGGAACAGGTCTTGCTGTTGTAGTCACAAAGCTAAATTCAGGCAATGATGATCTCTCTCTGCTGGAAAAAGAGAAGACTATTAAAAAAAACTTTGAAAATATTAAATAAATCTAAAAACTGAATCACACCATAAATTGATCTCCACCTTTTCTAAACATTTAAAAAAAAAATCTATTTGAGAAAGGAATGAAAATAAAGTTGCAGACAAGTTTCACAAAGAATCAGCTTTGGGTTAAATGACTTTAACAAAACCTCTCTGCATCATGCTTCCTTAAAACATTAAGCCACAAAGATCACAGCGCTACAACACGGCTGTGATCTACAATTTCTGCTCAGGAAATGCAGTAACTGACAAGATAGTCAATTGTTAAAGAAGCGTGGGTAGGCAAAGTAACTTTAAGAAATCATGAACAAAATCCAAGATAGTGTATATATATTAAAAAAAAAACAATTTTCTTAAATTTCCCAGTGATTTCAAAGTAATTGTGAGGTGTATCTAATTTCCTTAAACTCCGTATGATAACCATTTCATTCTTAATTACACTATAGGACATAAAATCCTGTACTAAGCACAATGATTAAACAACCAAAAATAAAAAGGAACACATCAGAATGAGACAGTGCTTGGTATACAAAGGAAGACTAACTTTGGATGATGGGAAGTTAAGTGGATGGATGAAATAAAGCAATAGGGAGGGGGGAATTAGGAACAATAATAAATTGATACCAAAAAAAAGTAAAACAAAAAAGTGCTTTCAATTACACTACGTAATGAATACATATTACTGATAAACTGCAAGAAAGTTATTTACCAAACTCGGAATTTTCCTACTAACCCAATATGATGTTTTCATTAGAAAATAGTGAGAATGGCAGTCATTTCACCAAGATTTCGTTCTTTCTTAGAACTTTTAGGTCGCTAGTTTGGAAGATAATCTCTTGTCATGATCAGAGAGAGAGAGAAAAAAAAAGCTACTCTCCTCTAAAAGCCTGTATACATACCTTAGAGCAACTAGCCAGTTCAAGAAGTTAACAAGAACAAGGTAGTTCCTGAGATCTGGGAAAAGGAAATTTTCTCTCTGCCTTACAAACATCATTCACTGATGACTTAATCCTAAATTTGTGTTTTTACTTATAGGGCTTTAGAAGAATAAAAGCCGTGAGAGAAAAGACCAAAAAGTAAACTAATTTAATTAACTAGAATTTCATGCAGGACATTTTTGTTTTAAAAGATTTTTGTGTAAGGGAAGAAAAAAAGCTTATAAATATTTCTACAAATTCTAGGAGGACTAAAACTAATTTTCTACAACTGGTTCACATTATGTGTAAGGGGAAGAAAAAAAGAAAATATAGATTGGTGAAGTTTGTGTAACACTCTAAAATAACCATTGATATTTCAACATACCAAACAAGCAAATGTTTTGCTTTCTTATGTAACCCTTAGAGCCAATGATTAGTGTTCCAAGTAAGATTGGAAATACAGTCCCCATAAAACAGTTCTAGTCACAGGAAATTTCCTAGAATTAAGCTCAACCATACTTTCTACAGGTAATCAGTCTAAAACACTGAAGTTTTGTCTTTAAACTACTGGTTGATACACTTGATCATATTACAATAAAACAAGAGCTATGGAATACTCTCCCATTCCTGCAACATGATTTCATTAAATGGTTGGGCATCAATTAAATACTAAAATTAATTTTTAAAATCTTACAATTATTCAATAACATTTAAACAACACTGCTTAAGTAGACATAAAATATTGAGTGAAATATGTAAAATGACAACTCAACCATCCCTTGAGGTAATCCTAATCAATCTTTTAACCAATAATATATAATTTCTCTCATTTTTTTTCCTGTAAGTAGCAGCTACCTACACTGTTCTGAATCCTTTTTTCACTTCAAACTCAGCCCAGATCTGTACTAAAGCAAAGAACTTGTTGGGAGAATTGTAGAATTAAATATGTGTTTCAAGTTTTAGGTAGCACATTGTAACAGGAAAGAGTTTTAGACTTTGAGTTTAGAAGCAAAAGGAAAAGTAAGTAGACGGTCTACTAAGTCTAGTGACAAGGAAGTTTAGCTATACTTTAGAGGTTAAATGAATTTTGTGCCAGAAAAGCATTTGGGAACACTATATACAAAACTGTACCGAGACATATTAATACAGATTACCATAACCAAATCTAAGTTGTTTCCATTGATAAGATGACAGAAACAACAATGGCATCAACAGGTAGGGAGAACTGGTACAGATATATTAAACTGTTTTAGATCAAATATACTACCAAGAAAACTACAGGTGTGAAAGGGACCTTAAGATCATCTAGTCCAACCCCTTTCATTTTACAGACAAGGAAACACCCCTGGATAAGTTAAGAGACTTGTCTAAGGCCGGAGAGTTAGTTGCAGAGCTGGGACCAAAAGCTAAATCTCTTAACTCTTATCTGGTAGCTCTATGCTAGGTCATCTTTGGCTATAAAAAAATTAGTGGGATGGACTAGATTGGTGGCTCTTGGCATTTCTTTTCTTACACTGATAGGTTAGTTTACTCCTGAAACTGACTGCAACATTTAATACTCCAAATTATTCATGTCTTACTTAATTGCTGTGGAAATTCCATTAAGACTACATGTATATTCCTCCATTAGTATTTGTAACCCCACTGTTACAATACCTAACTGTTCAACTGTTTAGCAAAATGGTCTCAATAACGGAGAAGACCTTCAGGAGAGATTTTTGAAAAATTGATAAGAATTAACAAGGGATGTAATTGTCACTCCATTATTGGAGATTTAAATATGCATTCATTCATTAATTCATCCAACAAACATCTGAGTGTCCACTATGAGCCAGGTTTTGTGATAATCACTAGAGATAAAAAGATGAATAAGACATGGTCCCCTTCCTAGAGGAGCTTGTAATTTAGTGGGGAAGACAGACATATAAACCAGATAAATTATATTACAACATAAGTACTATAACAGAGATATGAACAAAGTGCTGTTTAGAAGGGAGGGTAAAGGTATGAACTGGCTAATGACCAAGAAGTCTACCAATTTTGTGCAAGAACTACCACATTTACTGGAAACACAATCTCATGCTCAATCAATAATTAGGAAGGAGTAGCAATGTAGAGTTAAAAAAAAAAAAAAGTTGGCACCGAAATCAGAATGTCTGCACTCAAATCTAGTCCTTTCACTCACTAGCTGTGACTTTGGGCAAGTCACTCCATCTCTATTAGCCTAAGTTTCCTTATCTGTAAAATGGGAATTAGCAACTACTTCAAAGGGATACCTTAAGTTTTAAATCAGAACACATGAAAGTACATGCAGAGTACTAGTATTTATAAGCATATTCATTAATTTCAAAAATCCAATAGCAACCAAGTACTAATATTTATAGTTAAAATCATCTTAATGATAATAAAAATGTAATTGTGAACCTAATGAATGTCTGTAATATTTAATCCTCATTCTTTGGGACAAAATAGAAACACTTGTTTTCTGATTCATTCAAAGCAACATGGTTTAAAACATTTTAATTTTAGGTTTCTAGAAAATTTAAGACTAGGGAAACTGATAAGCTATTTATGGATTTAAATAAGTAGGAGGTAATTTCAGTTACATTGTAAGGGAATTTTACAATAATTTTTAAAAATCAGGCTAAAATTTACTAGTCAAATTATAAAGCCAAAAATCAGCATGGAGATTTAACTGGCCTTTGAAAGATTTTCTTTCTTTATAATACCTGTTTGGTGTAAAGAGAAGAAACGTGAGCCTCTGCCAATTTGGCACCTTTCACGACTACTAAAAAGAAAAGAAAACAAACTTACCTAATGAATCAGAATAGCACATAGTCAACATACAAGAGACTACATAAAAATATATCACAGATCTAAGAAGTTTTTGAGTAAAGTCACTATTCTGACAAAAGAAATCAATTTTGAAATTTTAAATATTAATACATGTACCAATTGCAAGCCAAAACATTCCTATGAAATAGTATTACCATCAAGAACATATATACAATTTTAACCCTAAGTGTGGGAGGAAAAAATAAAAGAGGAACAGAATCCATTAGTTACCCCACTGACAGAGGATTATGGTGTTGGAATTACAGTTTGTGACTGGGAGGACCTCAGTATGGGAAGAAAGTGATTTTTTTAATGTGACATTGAATATAATCACTGTAATCTCAGGAGGGGCAAGAAACACTTGCAACTGAAATGATGAATTTTGAAAGATAAATATGTAATCTCCCACCCCCTCATTCTACAAAGAATGCATTTATTTCCTGAAACTGCTGTATCAACTTTCAATGATCACGTTCATTTGCCAGAGAAATCCACTTAAAAATCACAATACTGTTGCAAATGTCAAAGATTTTTATACAAGTATAGGAAATGCACACTTAAAATATCAGACTGGAACACTTACCAAACAGTGTTTTCCTAAAGTAGTATCTACAGTACATTTCTTTATTCATACATCTTCAAATGGTCAAGTTTTCTTTCATATATCCAAAATGTAATGTGATGTTTTCTTATTCACCAAATGTTAGCTCTACTTGAAGTCTGGTTCCAAACTAATCAGCCTGCTTTTAAATTTTAAGACATCTGTTGAAAATTTATAGGATCAAACCAAACTGAAGTGGTATAAATTTTTAACATTGGATTGTACATTATTGTAAAGGTACCAGTAACCATTATTAATAAGTTAGTGATTATAGCTCCTTTTGTGATAATTGGGGGGAAGGGTAGATCACCATCTGGAATGGTCTATTTATTTTAATTTTTTTTTCTTTTTCTTTTCTTTTTTCTTTTTTAAAATCAAGGAACATTGTCTTGGCCTTTGTGGGGTTTTTTTTTTTTTTTGTCATTGCCTTTTTTTTTTCTTTTCTTTTCAAGAGACCATTCCACTTTATTTTTAACATCTGAATGCATAAGGACTCAAATGCAAAGCAGTCATACACCGTTATCATTAAAACCCATATGGTAAAATACATACACAAGTCCAACAAAAGGCTAATACATAGTAAAGCCTAAGCATACTACTATGTAATATTATGAATACATAACTTGGAGACTTTAGTTAGAGTACTATGTTATCTATTCATTTTTGAAAACATTCATTAAGATTTTAAATGCAAATTCATTCCTTATTTGGAGTAAAACAAAATCCTCTAAGTTATAACAAGTATTGGTCGTAAGTTTTTAGACCTATTCTTTAAATTACAAAGAACCCAAAGAATTCCGTAATGTTCAGTAGAAGTATGTAATAAAAACATTGCATATGTTTCTAGTGTGATGTCTTTAGCAATTGTTTACTGAAATAAAATGCAAACATCAATCTTTCAAAATACAGGATCAGAAGGTAGTTTTCTTCTCTTTTGTCTATTTGTGAAATCCATCTTCATCACATTTTACCAAAAAATTGTTTTTACAAATATGTAAAAGTACATTAGATAATACTAATGAAACACAGGTAGAGTTCTAGCATATGCAGATCAATGATCAGTCAAATCATCTTCTCCAAGAACGAGATTCATTGTCCTCTTCTTCTTCATCATCATCTTGAAGTAATGAGTCATCCACCAAAGACTCTTCCTGAAACTTTAGGTTAAAATGCATTTAGGAATTTACCCAAAAAAAAAGAAAAGAAAAAAGGTGACACTTTTAAATACTGATTTCTCTCAACAGAGGTGAATACAAAAGGTATTTCTATAGCTACAATACTCAAGAACAAAGAAAAGCAAACTTTATCCACTCAATGGTTTCTCTACAGTATCTATTCTATTGCTTTTATCAAACAGGTACTAAAACAATATCCAAGGAAGCCCTTGTACATGCCATTTCTCCTGCCTCACTTGATTAAATTATGCCATCTTCTACACCTGCAGAACAGTGCTCAATACCTTTAGTGCTTAAAAAAAGAAAACATCAATTTAAGTCTTCTCTGACTTACCCTGTCTAACCCTGGACACTAAATCAACCAATAACTTGTAAAAATGTCTATCAAGATTTATAGATTTGTATTTTTTTCTACTATATGTAACAAACATTTCTTTTATAGCATTCCTTGCTTTTCCCCATTCCCTTCATAAAAGCTTCTCAGACTGCTTTTCAAACTTTTCAAAATACCTAATACCAGGAGCTCTCCTGCTTTTCTCCCCATTCAATTCAAACTCATGGAAGGACAAAGGTATAATCTAAAACATAAAATGACAAATCATGTATATGAGTTTCAAAATACACATTTTATTCTTGCATTTGACTACGGATATGTATAACAGCCTCAAATGCTCTTCAAACAAAATGAAGTGCCATTACGAAAATCTAACAAAGGTAAAACATGGAATCATTGTTTCCCCACCTTACCTTTATTTATTAACCTCAACTTTTTCCTACAGCTTATTTCATGATCAAACAAAATAGTTATTTTTATGTTTATGATTTCAAAGGGCTCTCCCACTTCATTGTTCTTTATGTTCACACCTCTCAGCCATCATACTAATTGCTGTACCCAAGAAAAATGGACTGTTCCACACCTATTCCTCTTCCACATCTAAAATGCTTCTCTCAACTCTATTCCCAGTCCCAGCTCTTGGTTATGGAAAGCTTTTTTTATCACTTAGGGTTCAGCTCCACTGTCACCACCTTCTTCAAGATTCTTCTGGACAGAAATAATTACTCCTTCCCCTGGGTTCCCACAGCGTATTGTTCAAATCTTTATTGAGCATATCACTCTGCCTTTCATTATAATTAGTTTCTTATGTGTTGTCACCACCCCCCTTTCCAGATTATAAGCTCCTTGATGATAGGGACCGTGTCTTATTCATTTTTGTGCCTATCACAGTATCTACCATATAGCAGGCATTCACTCTAATGAACTAAAACAGTATGAATTAAAATAAAGGAAACCTGAAATGTTAATAAAGCAAATGAGTAGGATATATACTCTAAAATTTAAAATATTACAAGATTTCCTGTGGATAAAAATCTAAAGAATAATTACTGTTTTCTAAGAGTAAATGAAAACTGAGTATATATATGATTTTCTTTCTTTCTTTTTTTGGATTAGCAATCCATAGTTCTCATTAATCCAGAAAATTTAAAGTTGTCTGCATTTATCTGACATCCCCTGCCTGGAATATGGCTCAGGAATAAAAGTTTTATGTTAAAATCACAGCCATAAAATCACATTTCATATAAAAATGTGAACATTTAAGGGCCAAAACAAATTAAAAAAAAAACAAACATACTTCCTCTTCATCAGGTTCAACTTCTTCTGTTTCAACAGCTGAAATATTAGTTATTGGTTTATTCCATGCCAGTTTTAGATCCTGCCCTTTGAAACGAGCTCCATGAACTGCAGCCTAAAACAATTAAGAACATTAGAACGTAGAACATTAATAATTTCTGAAGAAAAAAATGAAATGTTATAGTACCTAATATTTAAATTAAATTAGTAAAACAAAAGTGAAGACACCTATCCATTTATTTTGTGGTTATTTATTTCGCCATTTACTATTATTATAATTTATAATTTACTTTTAATGGTTATTTACTTCTAAAATCAGCTTTGTGGTTGGAAATACTTTTAAAAAGAAAACAAGAACACTTTCTCATGCTTGAGCAGAGCTATTATAGGAATGGCCAGCATCTGACTATAACTATGGCTACATGTTTACAATACAATGATAATGGCTATTGGAGGTAACAATCTCAAGGCAATTCAAGATTCTGGCTGTAGGTTCTGAACTGAAGTCCAAATTAGGATCAACAGGCTAAATGTATTTTATTGCATTTTAATTCTTGTTAATTTATGAATGATATATATAGTAACTACAAACTGGAAACCTTTAACAAATATAAAAATAATTTTGCATGTGTAAGGTATCACATTTTAAAATTACATCTGTAAAGTATCACACTGTATTTAAATATACAATGTTTGACATATCAACCCTTATGAAATATAAGTATTTCCATGAAGAAAAAACCCCTGAATGTTTCTATTGAAACTAATGTACTTCCTACAAAGCTTTCAGAACTACATAAAAGTTAAACTTAGTATTTGCTAAATTAAATGGCTGGTTAGGAAATCGTGCATTCAAATTAAAGTAACATGAACTGATATAAATCAATGTTAGCAACATACCAGAATAACTCGTAGTCACAAAAGATTTATAGCACAACCTCAAAGTATAGCATAATGTGAAATCTAGAAACAATTACATGTTCAATGACACCTGACCATAAGTTGTGTGATATTAAAGTCTCCAGGTATAAATTTTAAATCTGCACATATAAATCTATGATAAATTTAAGAGATTTTATACCTATTAAAATGCAGTTCAGGAGTTTTTAGTCCATGGCCTCATCACAGTGTCATGTAACTAAAAAATTTTTTAAGTACTTATATATGATATTTAAGATTAAAAACAACTTATAGTTTTTTAAAGCTAAAACTATTACATAAAAATACATTACTATAAGGAATTCTAATAGTGTCATACCAAATATCTACTCATAAAGCTCCTTTCATCCAGTTAAAAAATTTTAATGACATTTTCTATAAGTTCTTGACAAACATTTCTGATGACCAAATATTGTAAATCTCTATATTTAGCACATATATCTTCAAATTTATAAGGTGAGTCTACAACCCTCGAAAGTTTTTATTTTAACATTTTACAGGATCATTTTCAAAGCTAGGTATATTTAACATTTTATAAACATTCTCCATTAGAAATTTTTGACTATTTGGCTGTATATATGTGAGATAACTGAGTTCTTGCTTTTTAAATATACAAATTTTATGTAATTTGCAACATAAAATCTTTAAAAGTTTAAAAAAATAATACAATCCATCCATTTTATTTTTTTAAAAATTCAAAAATTTCAGGTTACATAATGTAAAATATCATAGTCCATGATTGTCACATCCTGAAGAGATAACCACTATCCTATGAAGAATTTGGAAAAAGAAATCTTGCAACACATTAAAAAAAGTCCTATGCACATAGTAAGAGGGCTTGTGTATATACATATGTAGGATATGTACATGGGAACATACTTTACTGGTCTGTACACCTTCTTTCTTATATTATTAATCCAATTATTTCACAGAATTATTTTCATAGCCATACCAATAGATTTTTCACTTTTCTTGAATGGCTATTTATATACACATACACCCACACCAAATAGATTTAAACTAATTTCTTGAGTGGAACTTTGTCCTATTTGTTTGGCAAACTATTCTTTTCTCAACTAGATCTTGATTTTGTTTACAGTGCATGTTTTTATTGAAGGGAAAGGGGTTGCTGCTATTCTTTTTGTCATAAATAAGTTTACATTCTCATGTACTGTAATTTATCAGTGTTTACCTTTATGGCTTCCAGATTGTGCCAGTCCTTTAAAAAGCCCCCTCCACACTAAGATTACTTTTAGGAATCCCCTAGCTTTTTACTAATCATATGTATTGAAAAAAGAAAAAACTTTTATGCACCTTTATTTTGATACCAAAAATAAAGGCATAATGTATAATTTTTTTCCTAACACTCAGTTGTCCTAACATTTACAGATTAGTCAATTTAAATTTCCTGATTTAAATAAAATATCTCCTTGTAATCCTCTACAATTCTTTTATATATTTAGGTCCTTGTCTGAACTTTATTTTGTTTTATTATCTGTCTATCCATACCATTACTATATTATTTATTTCATAATGAATTTGGTATCACTATTCATCCTTTTCAGAATATTCTTGGTTATTCTGACCTTATTTTGTCCTTCTGACCTCTGGAATTTTTTGGCCAAGTCCAGTATCATACTGTCTTACTATTGCTTAATAGTATAATATCAACTAGATCAATGCTTTTCAATACTGTGGCAGTTGCTTCAAGAGTTTTGCAACCATTTTATTAAAATGTATATTAAAAAATGAACCCTGTAACTACTTATAAAATGTTAATTGTTTAAAAGTATTCTAGGGGCGCCTGAGTGGCTCAGATGGTTAAGCATCTGCCTTCGGCTCAGGTCATGATCCCAGGGTCCTGGGATCGAGCCCCACATCGGGCTCCCTGCTCAGTGGGGAGCCTGCTTCTCCCTCTGCCCCTGCCTCTCTCTGACTCTCATGAATAAATAAATAAAACATTTTTAAAAATAAATAAATAAATAAATGTATTCTACAGGATGCTTATTTGAGCAAGGTGGTAGTGGTTATAAAGGTGGAAGTGGGGCTAAATGTAAAATTATACAAAATAAGAAAGGAAAGTGGGGGAAATAACTTCAAAAGAAGATAAAATTAAATTTGCTCATCTTAATGAAAACAGTTGATAATCTAAATGAAAAACTACCAAAGTAACAAAGTAAAGCCAGAAAGAAAAAAATATATAGGGACGCCTGGGTGGCTCAGTTGGTTTAGCATTTGCCTTTGGCTCAGGTCATGAACCCAGGGTCCTGGAATCAAGTCCCTCATCCATCAGGCTCCTTGCTCAGTGGGGAGCCTGCTTCTCCCTCTGCCTACTGCTCCCCCTGCGCTCTCTCTGACAATTAAATAAAACCTTTAAAAGAAAAAAATATAAACAAATCCTTTCTACAGAAAAGAAAAAGATTTTAAAAAGATACATGGTCAAAAATCAGTAGACCCTGATATTTTCATAGATAAATTCTATTAAACATTTAAGAAAATATATCTCCAACGTTACTTAAAATTAACTCAGAGCACAAAGATGGAAAACTTTTCAATTACTTTTTATAAAGCCAGGTAATAGTGATACCTGATGAAAATATCATACCCCCCCCCCAAAATCTACAAACCAATCTTACTTCTGAAGATTGAATTAAAGCTACAGACAAATACAAGAATAAAATCGGGGCGCCTGGGTGGCTCAGTCGTTAAGCGTCTGCCTTGGGTCATGGTCCCAGGGTCCTGGGATCAAGCCCCACATCGTCGGGCTCCCTGCTCAGCGGGAAGCCTGCTTCTCCCTCCCCTTCCGCCTGCTGCTCTGCCTACGTGTGCTGCCAAATAAATATATAAAATATTAAAAAAAAAAAAAAACCGTGTCATTTGCGACAACTTGATGAATCTGGAGGGTTATTATGCTAAATGAAATAAGTTAGGGAACGACAAATACCATATGATTTCACTTATATGTAGAATCTAAAAAAACAAAACAAATAAACACTCTCAAATACAGAGAACAGACTGGCGGTTGCCAGAGGGGAGATGGATTGGGAAATGGGCAAAATACCTGAAGGGGATTAAGAGGTACAAACTTCAGTTAAAAAATAAGTCACATGGATGAAGAATATAATAAATATAATCAATAATATTGTAATAATGTTGTATGGTGACTACACTTATCATGGTGAGAACTGAGTAACATAGAGAACTGTCAAATCACTATGCTGTACACCTGAAACTAATATAACATTGTATGTGAACTATACTTCAATAAATTTTTTAAAGTAAAAATAGATAAAAATAAATGAAAAAAAAAAAGAAACAGACTTCAGACTTCAGGGATTTATCAAAGAAAAATACAATACAGTGGGGAATCTGTACCAGAAGCAAATGGTTAGTTCAATCTCAGGAAACAATATAAATAGATGAGGGAACAAAACCCCTCATATTTCTATAAATACACAAAAATTATGATGAAATCCATTTCTGATCAAACCCAAAAATCTCTACAGCTTTCAAAAAATAGGAATCATTTGTATTCTACCTTAATCTAAAAAGCCAGCATCATATATAATACTAAAATTATTAGAAATTTTTTCATTTATTTTCATTCACTTCACAAGGAAGACAATGAATGACATTTCATGAGTAAAGATACAATTACTACTACTGTTATTTAACATTTTTCTAAAGGTATTAACAAGTAACAGAAAGTAAGAAGTTATAAACATTAAAGATGGATATGATTACCTGAAAAACCCAGGACAACAAAATTAAAAATCTATCAAAAGATAGTTTGGTAAGATGGCAGCTACATATTTAATAAAAACAGACAAATAGTTTTTCTACATACAAACAAGAGAAAATACAGTGGAAAAAAAGACCTCATTTAAAGTAACTAGAAGTTAAATGACTGGGGGAAAACTAATATATTTATTTATATAAAGGAATTATACATATGTTATATATATTTTACATTATGTTATAGACTACTGTATTAAGTTTACATTATATATTATATATTATGTAATCCGCAACATATGTACATGACCTATATCAATTTTATATATATATATATATACACATATATATATATATATAAAGTCTATATAAAGAAAACCTCTAAATGCTCCTAGAGAAAGAATAAAGGGTTGAAATACAATGATGTTCTAGAGGAATATTTGTATCATAAAGATGTTAATTCTCCCATAAAGTATTCATTTTAGAACCTGCTATGTTTATTCTAAAGCTTACATAGAAAATAAATATATAAAATCTACCAGGAAGATGCTAAAAATGAGTAATAGCTGGGCATAATATGAGGGAATCCAAACAACAGCCCTGACAAACTATTAAAATATAAAGTTTAGCTTAATTAAAGCCATGCAGAAGAGGCACATGGATAGAAAACTGATCAATGGAAGAGAACGAATCCCCAACATAACCCAATAAACATGGAAAATTTTTACATACTAAGGGTATTTCACCTAAGTCTGGGAAACTAGCTTTTACTCAATGAAATCAAGTAGGCTCCCTATTTCACACCTTACACCAAATAAAATTCGTATGAATTTTCATTAAAATGTTTAGAACTTATAAGCTAATTTTCTAGAAAAAAAATCAGAAGAGAATTCAGCAAGATAGTAGACAAATGACATTAACAGCTGACAGAAAAAGAAATAAAGAGCATTTAAACAAATATGAAAGTGTTCAGTTTTAATAAGAGTAAAGTGTATATTAAAACTGAAATGAGTTGCTATTTTTACCAAAATAAAACTGATACCATACTGCGGCTTATGTACCCATGTATTTTATATAAGCAAAGCACTATGCAGAGTACACACTATGGCAAGTGTGTGGGGAAAATGCACCCTCATACATCTTTGGTGGGTAAGCAAATGTGGTACAACCTATATGGGGGTGGGGGATGAAGGGAGCAATTTTAGAACTATCAAAAATTTAAATGCACATATCCTTTCATCCAGCAATAATGTATCAAGAATAGATCTTATAGTCATATTTACATATGTACACAGAGAAATATGCACCAAGAATATTCACTGCTGCACTGTAAAAGAATAAAAACAATTTAAAGGCCATCAACATGGTTGATTAAATTTGGTACATCCTTTCTCAATTTTCAGTCATATATGAATGTCTCAAGTACCTTATCTTGTACTTTCACTTTGAAATACTGTGCCATCTACTGATTACAGAAAATACAGACATTCATTCGCTCATCTAGGACAACGGTTCAGAAAATAAGAACAAAGAAATATTTGGAAATAAGCATTAGAAAAGGTTGATAATTTTCTTTTCTTGGGAAGGCCTATCATTTACCTTGAGTTTATAATCTCTGACATTTTCAGTGTTAAAATTTTCTTTATTTTATAAAATGATGGTGACGGTACATGAAATCTATTTTGTCTTTTTTAAGCATTCTTCCTTAACGAAATTAAAAACTGGCGCCTCTATGTCAAACACTAATTTTTAAATTACCAAACTTCAATGGCCCCTGAAATCCAGAAGTTTGAAAACCACTGCTTTAGCCTATATCCTGCTTGGAGAAGATAAGCTTCAACTTAATTTTCTATTCTTTTCTACAATAGAAGGTTACAAAATTTTAAGAATTTTTTTGGCTTAAGGAAATGATTATGGATTAACAACTCCTACAATTTAATTCCAAATGTTTATCATAGCAATGGTAGTTCCTCCTTTCAGGCTATTAAGTAATTCCAACTAAATTTGTAATAGTTCTTATTAGATCTAACTTATTTTGTCACTTCTTCAACCTCCATATAATTCAGTGTTTTAAAGTCTTTGTCATACATTAATCTCAGTCTTTTGAATTGACTGCTATTCATCTGGAAAACATATGCATTGTATAAACATATATATATGGACATATAAATATACACATCTGAGGTGGAAAAAGCAACACCCAAGAAAGAAGGTATATGTCAATAAATTTTCCAAAAGCCAAACTTTCAAAAATTATTTCAGAGATAAAAGGTTTTTTTCTCTCAGCCACATAAGCAAGAAGTTTTAACAAACATTTAACCATTTGTACAATGACAACTACCACTGTTTTTAAGAGTTTTAAACTCCCATCAGTAACATTTTTCACTCTCAAAAAAGATCTTTAAAGTGAAAGATTACCCAAAAGTAGATTTAAAAAAACAAAACTCTAAGACCAGGAACTCCTATTCTATAAAACCATCCACCTCCTACACCGCTTATCTTGACACTAGTTATTACAAGGCCCCAGCTGAACACTTACTGAGACTTTTCAGACCCACAGTCTTTTACTGGTTACAATGCTCCAAGAGCAACTCCTACCAGGCTAGGCACCACTGTGTTAATCAGGAAGTATTCACTACAAAGGATAAATCAATTTAGAAAGTTTTTTAAAACTTTAGACCACAATCCACTTAAAACTTCCGAAAAGTATACTACTTTTCCATTCACGTTAGGTTAACTGTTTGGAACTCTTACTGCATTTTTCCAAGGACAAGATGGTACATATATTTCTCTACAATCCTGAAGAAAGAATACACAGGGCTAAAAATGTTCCTATCAATCTCCCATACCTCATACCCATTTTCCTGTTTAACCTTTTAAACCCAGATGAAAGACAAGGTTGCATATACTCATTCTTTATAAAGACAATTCAAGATACATGGTTTAAGACAACTATATTAGAAGGACCCTAAAAGCTAGAGCAGTGTCATCATGCCTTGGGCAAAAAGTTACAGAGGCTTAGTTGGGGATATGCTGAGCTAGGGACACATTAGAGTTCAGCCTACTGGGACTAGGAAGCAGCATATGAGGGATGCTTTAAAAGATCCGCCATCAGGATTATATCTCAGCTTCTACCTTATCTCTCATCACTCTTTCTGCCAAAGCAGACTTTGCTCTGGGCCAGCTGAGAAAAAGGATAATGGAAAGTCGGGTGGCCCTATCCCCTGTGAAAGAAAAAGGAAGGAGAACTGCTAGTGTCTCAAGACAATACAACTTAATATTCAACTTGGTGACTATTCTAATTACATCATGTTATAAGTAGAACTGCCTAACTGCTCATTCTTTGTGGCCATGAATTACTTCACATAATCTATCTACTGTCGAAGTGTAGTTATTTAGTAAGTTAAAAAAATTTCTTTTATATTAAGACTTAAAAGCAATACTTATAAAACATTTAAATCTGAATTTTCAACAAATCAGATTTCTAATACTTACTGCTTCAGCTTCTGCTCTTGTCTTGAATGTAATTACTGCATGAAGTGAAGAGTCATCAATCTGACAATCTTCAATTTCACCATATTGCTTTAAATTAAAAAGAAGTATTTCCTCCAAATAAATATTTTGAAACATCCAAAATCCTAATGGCTTTTAAAATACCCATAAATGTAACCCAGAATATATAACAATTCATGGTGATTAACAGAAAAAAAATGATGAATAATTCATTTTAGTACTTGATATTATAAGATAAAGAATGGTCCTATTTACAATTCTATACTTTTTCGAATTAGGGAAACTTATACTTGAATGATTCTTTAAAAAAATGAAACAATGGTCATAACTGGGCTTCCTTAATGCCCTTCCTTCATTATTCCAATCCTAGAATATGCTAAATTCTTTCTAAAACAGAGTATTTAATCCTCAGTATATTCTATGAGTTTTTTGTGTCATTCCCAATTCAAAGATGGTGCAAAAAAAAAAAAAGATTCAGAGGATATAAATAATTTTCCCAAAGTAATTAGGTTAAATGTCAGGAGAGTCCAGGTCTTTTAACATTCGAACTGACCCTGCTTTCACTCCTATTACATACTCCTCTACACTGCACTCTTTAAAAAAACACTAAATAGATTAAATTATGTTTGCTTTTGGTTTGTTGGATTTTATTTTTTCTGTATGTAGGATTTCTCCTTTATCCTATTTCCTTTAAATAGCAATCGTTAGCATATAAAATTCTAGTCCTTTATTTATCATTACTAATACCTTCCATCTTTCTTAGCCAAAAACAAAATAACTATAATCACATTAAATACACACACAAACACACACATATTCCCCATATCGAAAATTTCTGTAAAGATAATGGACTCTAGCATCAATCAGCTCCTTTCAGCTGTCAGTTACTAGCTGTGTGAACTTGAACAAGTTACTTAATCTCTTCATGCTTTATCTTCTTCATCTCTAAAGTGAGCATAATAAAGGTATGTACCTGAGTTGTTGAGATAACTCATAATATAATTAATTATATAAGGCACTCAGAATAATACCTGCCACAAAATAAATGCTCTATAATATATAATATTATTACTACTACTGGTTCCAGTATAAATTAATGAAGGCATTTTGTTAATCACAATTTATAACAGTCAATGGTCCTATAATAATGGTTTGTCTCTGTTACTTGTCCCATGTTCAAATCCCAGGTTGAGACAGAGAACTAAACTTTAAACCTGCATTCTTAAATGATTATTTTTAAATGTGCATTACCATTACTAACTTTGAAAGGAGTTCAAATCTCTAAATGCATGCAAGAATCTCCATTTAGAGGCTCTGAATATTTATAAAACCAAAACCATCCTAGTCTCACTAAAATACATTCATAACAAACTCACCTGGTTTATTTGGATTTAGCATATTCTTTGCTAGTTTCTTGATTAGCTGTATAACTGTATGCAAAACACTTAATTATTTGGATCTCCTTTCCTTTGTGAAAGGGGTGGGGGAAGCTGGGGTGGGTAACAGGCAAGAATTGGGCTAGATTATCTCTAACAACCTTTCTAGCTCTCTGATTCCTTTCTTTCTCCCTTTGAAGCCATCAAGCATAGGACTTTCCAGACTCCTCATCCTTAAATATTAATCATTTTAGTTATTTCTTAAATACATACAATTTCTTTCAATAATTCCCTATGTCCTGACAAAGTAGTTTCACCTTTGTAACTTCTGTTAACAGCCTAGAATATGACTGTCAAACATTTAAATCTGAATTTCCAAAAGATTCAATCATTTGTGTACCTATCTATAAGTTTATTGATCCCTTCAAGATCTAAGCTCCAGTTTTCCTATCTCATGAAATTCTCCTGTATTATTCTTTTTCCATCATATGCCTGTGTGAAAGATACTTTTCTAAGTTACTAAGTACTTACAGTTTTTAATAAATTTAGCTTGATGACATGATAAATTATGTTTGCAGTTTACTTTAACTGCTTTGTGTTAAAACAATATATATAAAATCCTTGAAGGTAAAGAACTGGTTATTTCCTTCCTATCTCCAGAGCAGTTACTACAGTCCTAAAGGCAAGACCGATGCTTAGTAACTAACCTTTGGGATACCACTAAGAATCACAACATTTAAGTTGAAAAGGCCTTTAGGCAAGTGTAATTTCCATTCTGCACACGAGCCCAACAGATCCCAGGAAGTCCAAGTTAAATAATGGGTTAGCCAGGACTAGAATCTCATTCTCCCTTCTCATAGGTCTATATTAGACTGACTCCCTTTAATTATATCCTGCCAGTGAATAAAGGCAACTTCAAGATCATATATCAAAATTCTGTCTTATTTCATTTCTAAGGTCAGCTAGATCAAGAATACAGTATTAACAAATAAAATTCCATCTTAATTTTAAAAAATCTGGGTGGCTATATGATGTGCTAAATTTTCTCTTCAAAGTATGTATCAAATGAAACTAAACTATAGGACATCCCCTTCTGAAATAGCAAAACTTAAATCATTCCTTTCATAGTATCTGAAGGCCTACTGTTAAGAATAGCAACATTTCTTCCAGATACCAATTAAACAACAACAACAAAAAATCCCTGTTTGTTTTTTAAATAATTAGCAAAAGATCATTATGGATTAATCAAACCCTTTGGTCAGATTAATGGGTTTAAATTACTCATATTTTCATAATTTCCCCTTCAATATCCATCATCCCCAACAATGTTTATCAGTATGTGTTTTGTTGGACAGTAAGAAAGTACCGCAAAATGAGGAAGAAGATCTTCTCGATCGCTCTCTGTAAATGCAGAAATCTCCAATGCCCTGGGACGATGATCCACCACAGCATGACCAGGCACACCTCGACCTCGACCTCGACCCCTGCCTCGGCCATGAGCTGCACCTCGGCCTCGTGAGTGAATTCCTCTACCCCGACCAGATGAAAGAATCCCTCGTTTTGCAGCCTTGAAGAGATCAGACACACAAGTTAAACATCACAAGCCACGTTATATGTATTCTGTCAGAGTAGTCGGTCTTTTATACAATTTGACATCATATTCAAATGCTGGCCTATGAAAGGATCTCATAATTTAAGTTAGTTTTAGTTTTTAAAGTGAAAGCAAATTTAGGTAGCTGATGAAATTAGAAAACAAAATAACATTAATTTAAACAATGTTTTGAAATTATTAAATGTGACTTTTTCTAAGTTCCTACTTTCCAAGATAATCAGACTATATCATAAAAAGACCAGCAATTCTTCATTTCCAAATACAGAATGTTAAAATGTTACTTCAGTTTAATACATACATAATACACAATAAATTCATTTTTCCACTTACAACTTTTAAATAGTGTATTTGTTTGCCTGTTGACTTCAGTAGGTATAATTATCTCAAATTCATCATTTTAGTCACTTATACTAATATCATTTTACAACCAATGTAGCACAATACCTTATATTCCATCACATTGTTCTATATGAATAGTATACCATTCCTTCACTGCACAAATATTTAACAAACACTTCCTTTGTGCAAGTCCTTACCTTCCTGAAACTCAAATCCTAGAGGGGTAAGAGACATTTAGCAACCAAGTTACTTAATAACATTAATGAGAAATAACTCAAAGAATAAGGAAATACTTTAAAGACTTGAAAAGAACATTAAAGATTGGCAATGAATAAGATACTAGAATGAAAGCTCCACGAGGGTATTTTTTACTTGTTTTATTCTCTACTTGATCCCCAGCACTTAGAACAGCAGCTGACAGAATAGATATTTAATATGTGTTCAATGAATCAAAGAAGAAACAAAGAACAAAAAAGGTAAGGGTGAGGGGTGGGGGCTACAGCATGAACAAAGGAATCAAGGTCGAAAGAAACACAGTACTTCTAAGAATACAGGAAATCCAGTGCAGCTGGACCACATGGGATGAAAAAATGAAGCTAGAGAGATAGGCAGAACCAGACGATGAAAAATTTTAAGGACCACAATTAAGGATTTTTAATGTTATCCCAAGAGCCATGAAAATCAGTTAAAACATTTTAAACACAAAAGCATAGTGATGCAATCAAATCGGTATTTAACATGTTATTCTGACTAGTTTTAAGAACACAGTAGAGGAAAGGTAAAAACAAGCTGGGAAACCAGTTGGTAGGCTACTAAAGTAGCTCCAACAACTAAAGATGGAAGCTTCATCTACAGTGGTGGCAACACAGAGAAGTAAACATATTTAAGATATATTTGGAGGTAATATATATAAAACTTGGAAATTAATTGATATGGATAATGAAGGAAAGGGAGGAAACAATAAAGATTCCCAGATTTCTGGTCTGGGTAACTGTGTAGATGGAATTTAGGAGCAAGACAAATTCAATTTTGAACAGGTTTAGTCTAAGGATGTGAGATATTTAAGTAGAAATGTCAAGCACGCACCACTGACAAATCTCTTCAAGTATAAGTATTTATTTCTTCATCTCAAGACAGTTCATCTTAACACTTGCTAAAATAATCTAAAATCCAAATAATAAACTTCACAGGTCAAGGATTAATGTTCACAATCGAGCAGCATATACAGACTTATGCTCTGAGGAACACCGTCTCAAAATGTTTCCTGAAAAAGGGGATGCATGGACAAATAAATTTGAGCAGTACTGAATACTGAATATGTGTATTTAGGGATTCAAGAACCAAAAACCTCTAAAGAAACCCTATGGCAACAAGCATGTTTAATACAACCTTTTCCAAATTTATCCGGCCTCAAAAGCTTTTTGCACTAATAACCTGTTAACAAAAAATGGAACTGGTGTTGTCAATGACACACTCTAGGAAACGCTGCATTACTGCATATTCCAACGGTAACTACAAACTAAAGTTTAGCCATCATAAAAGGAAACCAGAAAATGCCATTCGGCATTTAGTTTTATCATGATAGAGAAACCAAGCATGGACTAATAAAGAATACTGGTAGAACCATTATTTATTTATTAAAATTTCTAAGCCAAAATTTTAAAAATAACTTGTTTTTTAAAGTGCCACCAACACAGGCAAGTAATCTCCATAATAAAGAAAACACAATTTCTATATTAACATGAAAGAAATCTATCTTTTTCAAAACCTGTTATCTTGGCCAAGACACAAAGGCAACCCTATCAGGTTTCCAGAGAATGCAAAATGTATGCAGGTTTAGAGACCATCCTATGATTTTCTATGACAGACAAGATAGAGACAAGCACAGTGGCTGCTAAATGTTAAGTCTTTAATCCTTGGATGCCAGTACTAAATTGAGAATATGTCCTATTAGAAAAAAATCATCAAGGTGCTAACAAATTTGGGGAAAAAAGCGTAATTCTCAACTGAAGGCAAAATAATCTAAAAAATAAAAAATTTTAATTGTGGCATCAATCATAAATGTAGACAAGTACCAACTGCATTAATGACATTAATGTCTCTGTACTTCAAAATGTAATTCTGATTTTTAAACATCTTTTTGCTAAATATTACAAATGCTCATTGTAACAATCAATTTCACTAGATTTTTCTTGTACAATCATGCAGCTAAATTAGAAGTAGTTTATTTTCTTTTATAAACATCCACAGCACCATCTATAGGCAAAACTTAAGCAAGCATGTTTTTAATACAGATCTCCACTAAAGTCTGATCCTTATAGCAACTCAATATAATATGCCTATATACGCACAGAATATCTCCGTAAGAATACCTGAAAAGACTTTAATAGATTTTGGTCCCAGGGAGAAGGAGAGACTAAAATTAGAAAAGGAACCAAACTCACTAGAAGTGGAAGGACCTGGGTGTACAGGCAGAACTGCAACCACCCCTCATTAAATAAAAGATTTTCTCTACCAGTTCTGAAAAATTTGCTAACTTCTTCTCTCTTTCCTATATCAACTCCCAGTATGTATGTCAGAGACTATCAACAATCATTGACTAGAATGAGGGAGATCTATTTTCAAATTGACCACCATGACTACATCTGCTCCTCTTTAGCATACTGTGTAGTTGTGGTGAAACATACTTCCAGCTGTAATTCTGTATACTTTCTTCGAAGTTCAGTGACTTCTTCTCCAGCTTGCATCTTCTTATATAAATCCAGTTCTGTGTCAAGCAATTCTTTCTGCATCTAGAAAATGGTAATTAATAGTTAAGTGACAATTAATATCCTGCACTTATAAAAAACTTTTTTATACAAAGAACTTTTACACATTCCTGTTTAATCCACACATTCCTTCTGTATCTCCAGTCCTACCACCCTAGTCCAAGCCATCAATCACTTCTGGTCTACACTACTACAATAGCTTCCTAACTTGTTCTACTTCCACTCACTTCCCTATAATTCATTTTCCATACAGAAGCCAGAGTGAGATTTCTATGGACTGATATGAAGTAATTTTCAGGAAATAACTGTGAAAACAAACAAACAAGGTGTTAACGAGCATTATATAGTATGCTTTTACGCTGGAAATACATACACACACATAGCAAGAGGGAGGGAAGAATGGGGATAGGGATAGAGTGGCAGGGATCAAAGGGAAAAGGTCTTCTATATATACTTTTTTAATGTAATTTAACTTTCAAATCATGCTAATGTTTTATTTATTCAAAAACTAGAAGTCAGCAAGAATGAAAGGGAGGGGGACCCAAAACTTACTACAAATAGAAATACATTTAACTCTATCAAACTGATGACATAACCACACAAAAGGGAAAAAAAGTAATCCTAGGCCACAGTTCTGACTCTATGCCCTTAGTTTAATATATTGTGAGCTTGTAAAGAATACAAATAAATCTGAATCTTTTACTTGTCAGAAGTGGTATTGTTGTAGTAATTTGGGAACTACGTGGAATGTATTAAATGACTGCAAATGAGTACTGTACTGACATTAGTGGGAAGCAAGTTGTCATTATGGGAACAGGAGACAAAATATGGAATAAGAGGAGGAAAAGAAGAACCCTGTGGTACTGGATAGAACCAGAAATATCAATATGAACTCATAATTTTATACATATACATACATACACCCAAGACCAAGTATAAATATCGTATAACTGGAGGTTTTTAAAAATCACTTAGTACCACAAGAAATTCTCTTCCTCACTTATTCACATCCAATGGATTCATCTACCTGTATTTCCCTTTTAATCAATTCTATATAACGTTGTCAAAATGTTACTTTTTTTTTTAAGATTTTATTTATTCATTTGAGAGAGACAGAACGAACAAGCGGAGGGACAGAGGGAGAGGGAGAAGCTGACTCCCCACTGAACATGGAGCCCAATGAGGAACTCGGTTCCAGGAAATGGAGATCATGACCTGAGCCAAAGACAGATGCTTAACGGACTGAGCCACTCAAGTGCCTCCAGAATGTTACTTCTGTTTATTAACCTTTTATACTATGAACTCCTTATAAAATAAAGCTCAAACTCTTCACTTAACTATTTATCAAGCATTCAAGTACCTGTATCACTTTGTCCTCAAGCTATCTTTTCAAGATTATCCATAACTATCCTCCTAATTACTGACTTTCCAACTGTAATATAAAGGATTTAAAAAATTAACAGAGAAAGGATTTAAAAGATTAATAGTTTGCTTGTCTGTATATATTTACTATGAATTAATGAAGGAGGGGAAAAATGTTAGCATATAATAGATTTTAAGCAAAGGACAATACCTAAAAGGAAAACAATCTTAAAACAGTGTAGCATTTTAATGTGAAGAACACCACAAAATAAAATACCTGAGTCTTGGTTTTTATACTTTTTGGAAGACAGCGTCCAGGAGAAGCAGCTTTGACCTCATCTTTCAACTTGGTAATATTTTTTGTCAAAACCTCTAAAGTTTTCATTATTTCTGCTTTATCTTCAGACTTCATTGATTTGTTTTTCTCCAGTTTTGAAATTAACATCTGCCAAATTTTTTAAAAAAAGAGAAAAATTAAGATACTTATTCCTCCTATTATTAACAAAGCAAACACAGCAAAATAAATATAAAAATAAGTAACTACTAGTTTTAGTTTATATATTCATGGCAAAGTTTCCAACTAACTACTAAGCAGAATAACAGATTTGGTGGTACTATCTCAATTCAAGTCTTAATCTTGGCACACTTTGTAAAGAATTACACATTACCACTGGTCTTTCAGAACATAAGTTCAAAGCACACAACCCTAAGAAATTCAATCTGACCACGGAAAAGTCAATTTGAAGTAATATCAGTAATTTTACTTTCCAATCCATTTGTGGATATTACTGCCTCTAAGTATTCCTACTCCAAATGTAGTCTGCAACCCAGAAAGAACCAGAGGAAGTTTCATGGTTTCCTTCACATAATGAAATCTTAAAAATTAAGATTTTTATTGTTACAGGGAACAATAACTGGCTGGCCCAAGAACAATATCCCCAACATGGACAGGAATCAAAAGATAAACAAGGCAATACGGGGCAGAAGATACCACATATTACAGGTTTTCTGAGTCAAGGTCGTTTCAGTTTGTGGTGTAAAGTACTGTAATTTCTCTTTATAAGGTATATCTAAATTTAAATTAGAAATCAGAAGCAAAAACGTAAGAAGTTTCTGTATTTTCAATATTTTGAAATGTCATAACCTTTATTATTAGACATAATAAAAAACTAACACTAAATAGGGGCGTCTGGGTGGCTCAGTCGTTAAGCGTCTGCCTTCGGCTCAGGTCATTATCCCAGGGTCCTGGGATCGAGCCCCGCATCGGGCTGCCTGCTCAGCGGGAAGCCTGCTTCTCCCTCTCCCACTCCCCCTGCTTGTGTTCCTGCTCTTGCTGTCTCTCTCTGTCAAATAAATAAATAAAATCTTTAAAAAAAAAAAAAAACTGACACTAATTAAATGTCATAGAGCAACCATGTACAAAAGAAATACTGCAAACCATGCAAATAATTTTACATTTTTCTAGCAGCCACATTAAAAAGATTTTAAAAACCCAAACCAGTAAAGTTAACTAATACTGTATTTAACTCAATATATCCAAAATGCTATATTTCAACAAAAATTATTGAGATATTTTACTTTTTTCCTTTGTATTACATCTTTGAAATCTGGTATGCATTTTATATCCATAGAGCACGTATCAATTTGGACTAGACACATTTCAAGTACTCAAAAGTTGGATGAAGCTATTAGCTACCATACTGGACAACACAAAACTAGAGGATCCCAAGCCAATTAAAGAAAGGTATGTATTTCAATACTGAGAAAAAGGTTCCAATTCACTATCTGTTGATAAATTACTGTGCAGCAACATATCTGGATAAATACTCCTTATTTTCACTTCAAGTCGACCACCCCAGTTCCTTTAAACCACTCCAATCCCCAGTTCACCATTTAATGCTCTTCATCCCCAATACGCTAATCAACTGATATATACCTTATCACTGATAAATATTTCAGTTTTACCCTTTTCAATTACATAAAATATATTTCTTACGATTAGCTATATAGTGTGAAATTAAATTTACTTAAAATTATAACACCATAAATATATTTTGCCAAATCTAACTTTAATATTTTACCTTCTGTGTTTCAATGTGCTTTTCTAAAATTTCTTGTTTCCTTTTCCTTACATCTTGCTGAAGTTTCAGTGCCTCCTAGAGAAAGAGACCAAAAATATCATTAGAATATTTACTGATAAAACAGATATTCCAGAGGAAAGAAATGGTTGTAGATACAGCAGCTTGGCAACAATTAAATGTAAAGTTTTGCTATGTACAAGTTAAATATGTATGTAAGTTTCAAAGATTAATCAAGAGAAGCTTTTGTTCCCTCCAAAATTAGTATTTACTGCTAAACTATGAAAAATAAAAGTTCAGTGGACCCAACATACACTTTTCTTTTAGTTCTATTTTGTGATAAGCCTTGAAAAAACACATACATGCAGAAAAGCTTTCCTACATGCACATTTTGTATACTATTATCTGTATTTACCTGTTTTTTTTTCTGTGCTTCATTATTGTCAAGGGCAGAGGTGGAAACAAGTAAGGTTTTCTGTGCAGCCTTCAAAGCAGCTGGATTATACACTGTTTTAGTTAGGCCAGTAGATGTAGACAACACCTACCGATACAAATTCAATTTCTTAAAAAATGTACCAAGCATTTGTGATTACCTATCTTTTCTACAAAACTCAATTTTAAAACACTTTTGTCAAAAATCAGTACATTGAAATAAGTCTATTATATACATATAATAACTAAATCACATTTAGTGATTTGAAAGGAAGGGTATGACTGAGGCATAAACTATAAAATAAAAAAACTAAATTAACAGCATATACCTATAGAAAAAAAAAGAACATACAAAAACTTGAAATAAAGAAAAAAACATTGACATCACTATATCACTGAGAAAATATTAGTTGCTAAAAACATTTACTTAATATTCCTAGTGACTAAAGCAAACACTGTACACAAGAGCATGACACAGGAGGAAAACGGATACTGTCCCTCAATTTGACATGATCATTTGCAATTTATAGTTCTGAAATTAACCTTTCTTAAGAACTTAAGAAAATGCTTTCTTCCTCCATTCCTTTGCTTGCATTGATCCAAGTGACCTTATTCCCTTAAACCCAGCTCAGGTTCAGCACCAAACAGTCAAGACCTCCACAAAGCCCTAATCATTTATTTCTTCTACCCAGATCCTTTCATGAAATTTTATTCCTACAGCTATTCAAACATTTAAAATGACCTAATGGATATATTTACATGTCTCTCTCCTTGTCTACACAGTAAAGCCAACAAAACCATTTATTTCTCCTCTTTGTGCTTCTTCTACTACCTAAACCTTGTTACCAACTAATTATGAGACCCTGGCTTCAGGCACCTTTTCTGGGCCTCAGTTTGTTCATCTAAGAATGTTTAAGTTGATGGCATCTAATGTTCTTACAAACTCAAAAGTTCATTCCATGAGCGTAGGGTTTTTTTTTTTTTTGGCTTCGCTCACCACTCTATCTTCAATGCCTAGAAAGTGCCAAGGCATGTAGTAAATACTCAACGAATAGTTTTGCACTAAAGTAAACTGAAATGATGATAGATTGAAGTGTACAATCTACACAAGGGTCAATTCAAAAAAATAAAAGTGTATAGGCTACCTTTTTTATTCTTCAAAAGCAAAAAGTTGTAGGTTCTGTGGCGTGGTTAGTTAACAGTTCTTAATAAAGGAGTCCAGAGATCCCTTAAGGGAAATCTATGAATGTTATAAAAACTAAACATGGAACCATATGTGTGAACAATGTAACTTTCCTGAGGAAAAAACATAGTTTTCCAAAGTGTTAAGGGAGTTCCCTACCAAAAAAAGGGGTTAAAAGAACTACACAAACAGAAGATTATCAATGAGAAAAAGAGCCCTACTTTTTAGCTACTAAAATATAAACATATGGGTCTATCAGAGAGGTATCAATCAGACACCATTTTCTAATGTTCTATCATGAAGTTAGATTAAGAAACATCAAAGATTAGACAACTCATCACTATTCTAAGTATGCAAGAATGTTTTAGCCTCCAAGTAAAATAAAAACCTAGAACACCATTAATTATACTGGTTCCATACAATGCAACTAATGTTTAAAAATAAAGGCTCTTAACAATACTTGATATGTATCAAATCTGACTGATAATTTTCTTCAATAACGAAAAATAATACTCAGATATCACTAATAATGAAATGGTTGCATTCAGTAAAATATGGAGTAAACACAGATTTACTTTGCAGTCTAACTTCAGTCACCATTCTCTGTAATACCTGAAAAAAATTTCTTCTATGCTACCTTACCATACCACACAATGCCAAACTGCGTGGATCATAAAGTATAACAGAGTAACTTTATAAAGAAACACAAGATAATGTGCTAAAAACAGTCTGAGTGTCTAATAAACAGTTTTCTTCATGAGAGCTCCATAAAAAGTTGAAAAGTTGTAACCAAAAAGATTTCTATACTCAAATAAGTTGGAAATAACATAAACCTACTTTCTAGTTTCAAAATGCATTTTACCATAAGAGCTGTGAGAAGGCCTGAAGTAAAGAAACCCATGTAATTTGTTTAATTTGGCATTTCTTCAGTTTCATTGAGAAGGGAGCACTCCTTTTCAAAGTATACTTATTAACATCTGATATCAGACTAAGGAGTGCTGAGTCAAAGTGAATAAAACTATATGACAAGAATGAGAAGACTCCTTTACTCCTAAAAGCATCCCACTTCCTTGTTTTATCCAAGAACTGCCTTCTATACAAACAGAACATTAGCTAACATATTTCACTGAGCTCAAAACATCACTATGAAACACATTATCACAATGTACCCCTACTAGAGACATACAGGTTACCACAAACACCAATAAGATGTAGCCTAATTTCAGAGGTGTTGAAAGGTGAAAATAAAATGTCTTAGAAACAATGAACTATAAAGACCGCTCACTATTTGAATCTATCCGGTTCTAGAGTTTAGATAGTAAGAGTATGAATAGCAAGGGATGTCTGTATTTTCAAAAGACAAGGATGGAGTTGTGATAAAAGAGAAGAAAATATGTTAAGAATGAAAACAGTGGAAGGAAACAACAAATCCAACGGAAAAGAAGGTGCTACAACTCCTAAGAACAAAGTCAAAGCATAGGTGGTGGTCTTTCAAACAACCACACCTTCTGTTTTCCAAACAGGTTTCGGCATGTACTGTATTTTTACATACTGATCTTATGGCATTCACCTATTAATGCCAAAGGCTGGTGAATTCTTTTGGATTTTTCACATACACTATCATGTCATCTGTGAGTAAATATAGTTTTGTTTCTTCTGTTGCCACCTTTTCACCGTTTATTTCATTTTCTTGCCTTACTATACTGGTTAGGCCCTACACTAAAAAAAAGTGATGAGAGTGGACGTCCTTTCTTGTTCCTGATCTCAAGAGGGAAATCATTCACTATTTCACTATTCAGTATGTTAGCTGTAGATGTTTTATGAAGATAAACTTTATCAAATTAAGGAAGTTTCTTTCTATTCTTATTTTGTGTATTGTTTATTCTAAGTAATAAATTTTATCATATGCTTTTTCTACTGAAATAATCATAGGAGGTTCTTCCCACCCTTCTCCCCCTTAGTCTGTTAATGTGGTGAATTAAGCTGATTTTCAAATGTTAACTCAATCTTGCATTTCTGGAATAAATTCTACCTGGCCAGGTCGTATTATCTTTTTTCATATCACTGAGAATTTGTTAATTATTTAGCTTAGGATTTTTATGTGTACATTCATGAGCTATTGCTTTTAATTTTCCTTTATTGTAATATACTTGTCAGGTTTGGTCTCAAAGGTCCGTTGAATTCAAAAGGTGAGCTGAAAACTATCATATGTGCTTTGTTACTAAAATGCACATCACATCACTACTACCTCTCACTTTCCAAGACAAAAGTCAATTTCTTAACAAGATAGAAGTTATAATCCATTAACACCTCTTTATCTTATTTCCTATGTAAAATATTACCAGCCATAACTACTACTAGTTCTTGTAAAGAAAGAGAAAAACAGATTTTTCTCGTGGATAAGAATGGAAGGGGGGAAAAAAAGTATCTTGTAAAAATTATTAAAAAAGAACTTGGTTCCCAGAAAATTCAGCATACACGTAATTTTATAGAAATCATCTCTCTCCGTAAGAAAAACAATCCTGGTAATAATTCTGACTAAATAATCCAAGTAATAATCCTGAGAGAGATCAATGCATTAAAAAAAAATCAAAAGTAGTCAGTAACAGTTATGAAAAGAAACTCATAAATTCCTTTACTGTTATATTTAAAGTAGCAAAATTACACAACAAATGCAAATTTAAAAATCAAAGGGTTACTTAGATGACTGCATTTTATAGTTAAGGAAACTGAGAGAGTAAGATTTGTTCAGGATCATACCTAATGTCAGCTGCTATATCAACAGCTGAAGTCTCCAAATGACTTGCAATGTTCCTTCAGTATACCACACAATTTCCCTTTTAAAAGCTGCATGGTGCGTATGTTAACACATCATATTGCAAAGAGACCGAGATATATATTTTTAGATTAAAAAAAGGGGGGGCGGGGAGAGAAAGAAACTACTGCTAAGCTGCTAAGGAACAATAACATCCTGTATCACAAAAGTCTAATACACTTGAAACTAATAATGATATACAAACATTAAATATTCAAGTGATTAATCATTTTACCTTCTTAGTCTTTAAGAAGGGTCTTAGGGAGATAATTTGGACAGTCTTAAGTCTTTCTGTAGACTAATCAAGATGGTACAGATGCCACCTTTATTCTTGATAAATTGCTCTATCTTGAGAGGTACTCAAACATCATTTCACTGATCACTCTTTCCAAATAATACCTATTTAAATAGCTACCACAGTGCCTTAAGATTTAGCAGTATCAATTAGGTTTTAAGTTTCCTCTCTCAACCCTCTCACAAAAACGACTTTTAGAATAAAGAATCACTGAGTTGAAAAGTTGTGACTTTTGTTGTTGAGAGGAAGGGGAAAATTTTTACATTTTTTATACTTACTTGCTTTAATAACGACAGAAGATACTGTACAGATACTAGTTTTGAGTATTTCCCAGCCTTCAATTTGATGATGGGAAACATTCTTCTATCCTTCCTAAGACTTCTCTGAATCACTAACCTCTAAGGATTCTTCAGCAAAAACCCCTATAAACTTGGGGAACGGGAACAACCAAGAATAAGCAAAAACAAAATGCTATTCTATAAACAGGTTCACTGAAGATGACTGAAAGTTACACACCTGTAAGTAACTGCTTTCCTTAAAAGATTCTTTACAGTATTTACAGTATTTTTTCATGAAAATACTACCATTAGTGATTTTTCAGTTAATGGTAACTATATTAGTAAATGTATACTATCAATTCCAAATTTGTATCCCTTTTATCCTAAAGCTATATAAAACACATTAAAAAAACAAAAACAAAAGCAAACATACCAGAAAGGTTCTGTAAAAGCTGTAATTAGTAACGTCAATTTCAGTCTAAATCTTGACATAAACAGATGCTAAGCATAAAGTTTTTAGATCTCTCCAGAATTGGTCATTACTACACAAAGTATAACAGACTTTTTTATTTTCTTTATTCCTTACTTATTATCAAGGTGGATAAACCTAATCAAAGTAAATATTTAGATAGTGCTAAATTCAGTAGCATAGACTAAGATATAGACAAATTCAGGGGAAAAAAGGGAGGCATCATATGGAAAAAATGTGAAGATTTTATAGAATAGTGTAAAGAGATTTTCAATCTTTAAAAGAATGACTAGAATTCACTTAGAGGAAAATGCACTCCAGGAAAATCACCACCAAAAAAAGAAAAAGAAAAAGGCAGGAAAGAGTGAGGAACAATGAGCAGTAAAGGGCCTGCTAAGGTAGAATGAAGGACTAACACGGAGATATGTGGCCCAAATAACCGAAGTATGATGAGCTATGAATCAAGCAGTTATTTAGTTGATGAAATGAACGTTTCTGTAAGAAGTTAACATTAAAATAAGGCTGGGATTTTTTACAATGGTGATATATAAACTACAGGACGGGCATACAGCTAGGACACCACATCTAGAGGCCTGGAAACTGAAGGTGGTGGAAGAAAAAGAAGTGGATGACAAATACAAGTGAATGACTGCACAACTTGGAAAATGGTGGTATTAACTTCCAGAGGTTGGGTGGGGAGGAGAGGTTAATTTATGTGGGAAACCGTCATTTTTTAAGCACATTATGCCTGAAGTAATGCTGAGGTGCCCAAGATAAAAATCTGAAATACAGAATGAGATTCGGATTCAAATTTCTGTAATTGCCATAGTTTAACAAGGTAAATAAGGAAAAGAATATACAGAAGAACCAGTGGAGAGAGGTTAGCCATCTCATGGAATGCTCTATGTAACATATGGAGTCAACTTCCTACATAAACTTAATAATGGAAAGAGCCATGGATGTAAAATAGAGGAGACCCACCTTCCAGTCCTGACTCAATAATTCCTAGTGCATCCACTTGGGCCTTACCTTCTTTTTAAAGTGAGGACAGAGAAATGAGAAAAATTATCTAATCCTATTCTGTGATTCCATATACCCCAAATAAGACTAAAGACCAGAGCATTCACGCATACCTAAATAAAAAAAAATAAATAACACATCTATATAGAACTGTAAGACAGGTCCATGAATGGTCTTAATCAGTATTTACCCCATCATTTAAAAAAAGAAATGACAAATGACAATTGTCAGGCTATGTATAATAGCTGTTAGTAATAAATAAAAAATTTACATTTACATCATCCTTTCCAATTAGAAAATACTTCTAAATGAATCATTTTATTTAATCCTCACAAAACCCTGTGAGCAACACAAATTTACAAACATCATTTCACCAATGAGGAAAAAGAATCAGAAAGGTTAAGAGCACTGCCCAATATCATGCGGTTAGTAAGTGAAGAGCCAGAATTCAAACTCCGGTAAAATTCCTAATTTGTGGCCTTTTCCATTAGGCTGCCAGAGTTTTCAAATCAAAATGCACAATATCTCTAAAGAAAATATAGTAAATAAAAAGAGAAAATGAAAAGAAGGAAGCACATGGACATATAGTGAGAGGCAAATATTAAAATGCTGATGCAAAAAGTAAAAAAAGTATAGGCAATTATTTTTCTTTTTCAGCAAATGGAAAGCAAAAAGGTAGGAATAAGAGATACAGATACTATTAAGAAGCAAGAGTTTAGAACTATAAAAAAAATTAAAAAATTAAGATGCCACCTGAAAACATGTATGAAGCCAAGACAAACACATCATGCTATTATTCTTCTTACCTTTTCAGTTGCTGAAACAGATGGCTTTGATACAAAACCCAACCTGTCCTTCACAGATAACTTAGTTACATTCTAAAAAAATTAAAATGGACATATTCAGTGTTTCCCCAAACATATAGGTCTGTTGGGATTTTGAACATTCGGATTCTACTAATATATACTGACTCATTAAGTATATAGATGTTAATCACACAAACTTGGGCCTTTTTCAAAGACAGAGACAGAAAGAAAATGTGTGTGGGAAAACAAACAGTATGCAGTATTAATCATAAACAATTATGATGTAAAGTAAGGTTTGAACCAGGTATTTACTAAAGTCCCCTCCACTGATACAGAATCATAAATTCTTAGAATCCTATGTTGACAAGTAGAAAGCGTAACCATTATAAATATCAGATTTGAGTAATTAAAATATGTGCCTGCTTCTTGAGCTTAAAAAATAAAAGCCATTCTTTCCTAAAGTATGTTTTTATAGCCAAATGCACTGTTTCTGGTGATGATTTGAGATAACAGGATGGGGAATAATTATTGTAATCGGGGTTTTTTTAGTAACTAAGAATTTATCAATTTCCATTCTGCATGTTTTCACAGAATCTCATTATCTTACTCTTCAGGAAATATCTAGGAAGACTATTTTAATAAAACATCATGCTAACTATATCCTAACACTACTTTAAACAGCAAATGCTGAAACATCTAGAGACAAAAGAAAGCTAAGTTTCAGAGACTGAGAGTACAGAAACAAGAAACTGCCACTCAAGTGTGGAAGGCAGTGGGAAGGGAATGACATGTGGAGAAGAGAATCTGAAAGTCAGGAATAAGTGATGCCAAGTTCTGAGAGCTGCACAAGTAACCTGAAACAGTATTATCAAGCATGCTAAAACCTGATGGCTTAAAAGCCTTCCCTTTCCAAAAGCTTCTGGTAGTCTACTGTATCATTTTCTCTGGAACAGAAATCTAGTTAAGTTAAAGATGATGGGAAAAATAAGATTTAGTGTACTGAACTTCATTTTTCAGGCAGTTTTGCTTGAAAATAACTCTTCCACAAAGTGAAAGGGAACTCAAGTATTAACTAGAGAGAGAAGAATTTAAAATTCAAATACTATAGGAAAAGCAGAATGTGAAAATCTTATGCTAATGGTAAAAAGAAAATTTACAGGTGGAGTTCATATATGTATAAACTATGATATTTCTGTATAAAATATATACAATTAACTATAATTCAAATCACAAGGGAAACTAATTTGCTGAGAGCCTGTTATGGGACAGAGAGAAGGAAAAGACTTTTCATTTACCTGAGGAAGGTCTGAACTGGCACTCTGGGCTTCTGCTGGTTCAACAGTATTTGAAGGTACTGGACCCAACCGCTCTTTGACCGACTGCTTCACAACAGGTAAAATGGGCTGCTGGACTAACGGCTGCATTACCTCAGAACAAGAAAAAATGTTAAACAAGAGGATTAGTTCATGAAAATGTCAAGTAACCTCTGTTATTTGTTATTAAAATGCCCATGCAGACAGTTTTAAAAGCACAGCTTATAATCAAACCCTATCTTCCAAATTCCTTCACACCCATATACAGATGTTTTTCTTTGCATAAATTATTTATCAAGTAAATAATGGACAGGAGGAAATTCAATCGAGAAACAAACTGCTATAAACCCTCCTACAAGCAACTGATCTAACATTACTTAGTGACTGGTTCAGTGACTGAAAAAGAGAAAGGGAAAGAGGGAGGGAGAGAGGAAGGGAAGGAGTTCCAAGATGAACACACAGTCTGAGTTTCTGGAATATGCACAGCTACCACATACTGAGTACCTCCTATCTACCAGGGACTTTTCTGTATGCTTTACATCTTTGCATCCTGTAACTGTCTAAACTAGGGAATTAACTTCACAATAAAATGAGAGAACAGGTTAGGGACATTAAGTAAGTTCCTTCAGTGTTTAGAGTTAACAGAGTTAGAGCCAGAATCTGACTCAAGTCTACATGACTGCAATACACCTGCTCTTAAACACTATGCTGAGCTAAGAAAAGCAGTGAATTTCACACAAATCTCTCTCTTACCTTTGGAGAAGTAGTTTGTAACTGCTGGGTACTTCCTTCTCTGTGCCAATAAACCTTAATAAAGCGGTTGTTCAGTACTGCTTCTGTACTTGATATAGCTTTCTTTGCTTCTTCATATGTTGCAAACTGGATAAGAGCACCTTCAGGATCACCATTATAAGCAACCTAAGATTTAAAATATTAAGAACAGTGAATTCCAAAAGAATCCACTGCTTCATTCAGTAAAATTCCTCAAGAGATGAAATTCTGGTCCCTCCAGGTAATATTCTATCTTTACCCTTTCTTATACCTAGATTATTTACCACAGTTTACTTTCACTCCCAAAGAAACGTTAACTAAGGACTGTACAAAATGCAATCTGAAACAACAGTGAGATACCATGTTTTGCTCCTCAGTTTTGGCAATTTTCCTAAATTAATTTTACCAGGGCAGTTAAATTGTATGAGGAAAAGAATATTCTGAAAACTTTTTTGTGTCTCCATCTAAATGTGGTAGATAAAACTGAATTGCTATAAAAAGATATTCAGAGATATTTAAGATTAGGTAAACTAGGGGGTAATACGTATACCACAGGCCCACATATTTATTTATTTACATATATATATAGTGTGTGTGCTAATTGGTAAGTCGATAGACACAGAAATAAAAAAAAACTAGAATAATACATGATATATTTTTAACAATAGTAGGATTATGAGGATCATGGGGATATATGGGGAAAGGAATGGGAAGGACACAAAGAGTTGGAAGGGGAAACATTTCCTTTAAATTCTATACAAACTTCTATTGCCCCACACCAAGGAAGCATGCATTTTTTCATGTTCTTTTTATATTATTTTTTAAATGTCAAGAAAGCAAAATTTTCCAAATAATCGACTTCAGTTGTACTCTCTAAAACTTATTTTTATCAGGTATGGGAAATAATTATTTTAGTTTAAAAGAACATCGTACAAACTGGAAAAAAAGCCCAACATTATTTCAACATTTCGACATATCATATAATGTAAACTCAACACTAAATAACCTCACAAATTATGTATACCTAAGCCAAAGTCTAATTATAGGTGAAGTCATATACAAAATATACTGATATTTAATCTTTAAGGATGTTCAAAAGTGAGAGAGGAAGAAGTAAATGTTTAAACTAATTAAGGATCACGTGGTGTTTGGGCCCCAAAACTATCTGTTAAGTGCTTCCCACTATACAGGCAGCAAAAACAACCTGAGAAGCATTCTGCTGTAATGCTTCAGAGAAACTAAGGAAATGAACACTATTAAAGATTAGATTTTCCGGGGCACCTGGGTGGCTCAGTCAGTTAAGCGTCTGCCTTTGGCTCAGGTCATGGTCCCAGGGTCCTGGGATTGAGCCCACGTCAGGCTCTCTGCTCAGTGGGAGTCTGCTTCTCCCTCTCCTTGCCACTCTCCCTGTCTGTACTCTCTCTAATAAATAAATAAAATATTTAAAAATAATAAAAAATAATTTAAAAAAGATTAGATTTTCCTACTCTGATTAAAGCTGCTAAAATTTTATAATAACTTCTATTAAGTAGGAGGCATATAATAATCAATCAAAACTGCCTTCTGAAAGCAAAACACTTACTCAAAATCACATACTGTTTCAAAAATACAGTTTCATCTCATTCCAATTTTCCAAATTTAGAATGTCACCAAATTTTCCGTATTCCTTTATAAAAGTATTTTTCTTACTACATTAAACTCCCTCCCTAAATAATTAAGCAAAGACAAGAGAATTACTTCATAGCTCTTACCTGTAAGTTAACCAAGGTTCCAAATCGACTAAAATGTTCATTAAGTTTGCTTATATTATTTAAGTCTGGGGGAACTTTTCTAAGTTCAAGTTTGGTATTTTCATTTCCAAACTGAACCTTCTTCTGGAAACCTGGGCTGTTTGTCCTATTAAAATTTGGCCTGTAACAAAAATCAAGTTGATTAATACATTTATTTATAAATCCTGACCCTATCAAGCACAAATTAATAAAGTTTTACAATTTAGGTTCAATTGTTTTTTCAAAACTGAAATTACTAGTTGATAAAGAAAATTTAAATTTTCTTCCAAAAACTGAAATTTCCAAATTAGTACCATACATATCTTTCATAGACGCTAACTGAGAAGGGTTCTTCTATGCCATTTATTATGTTCCACTTCAAATCAAATCCATGCCTACTTAAGCAGAAAAGGTCCAGTGCTCTTTTAGTAAATTTGCATATACAATTTTTGTTGCACTTCTGCAAAAGCTAGCTTACTGAAATGTATCCTATTCTAAAACACTGATTAAAAACAAGGTACAACCGTCTCAACCACTTTCCAACTTAAAAAAAAAGTCAAAACTGTAAACCACACATTTGGCACTTGAAAAAAGGACAAAACTGTGGCCCAGAGAGGTTACACTGCTTGCCTTACATCACAGAAATACAGGCAGAGCCAGAACTAGATATTATCCATTATTAAATGCTGTTAAGGCTCTGAAAGTGTGATCCTCCTTCCCTCCTTTAACTTGTAAATTTAGAAGAGAATCATCACATGCATCCCCACATTCCTGTTCCTTCCCTCTTTCTCTGAAGCCCTTCCCTGACAACTTTAATGTCTATCCAGCCTCCCCTGCTCCCCAGAAGATCACTTTCCAGCTCCTAACAGGGCTTGGCCACATGCTAAAGCCTCCTCCCAAACCTGACCCAACCCTAATAGTGGGCTCATGACTATCCTTTATACAGGTAGTTTTCAGTGACATCTCTAAGTTAAGCAGTGTTTTTTTCTGGAGGTGGGGAAAGGTAGAAAGAGGAAAAATTGTGTCCTTGCCTACCACACCATTTCCATATGAAAATGCCTTCCAAGTACCAATTAACTTACAAATATTTAGAAATCAACGTACACTATAGTGTGAGACTGCTTATAGAACAGAATTATATAAAGCTCATTTTGAAAAATACTATACTGCCAAGTAATATTCCAGTATCCTAAAAATCACTGTACAATAAAATTCCTCAATTTTCCCTGCCAGCTTACTTATCAAACCAGGTCTTCTTTGTAGGAGCTCCAGGCTCCCCGGAACCAATCGTTCTTTTCCTTGATTCTGAATCCACTACTATCCTCATACTGCTTTTATTAGGAGGCTTTTCTATTTGAAAAGAAAAGAGAGCACAGATTAATATTCTGTTTATCACAGCTATTTCCTTAAATGCATACTGAAAACAAAGTTCTGGCTTTTTGTCCAAATATACATTTTTAAAAGAAATAGAAATAAATGTAGATTCAAATATAATAATCTAAGGGATTTTAACTTATTCTGAATTCATTTCATACCTAACTAAAGAAGACTCAGTAATTCTTACATGTCAAATTACAATATGACTGACTCTGCAAGCCACTTGTTTTTGAGGTGGGGGGTGGAATCCACGTCACTGTTTCCATTTGCCATGACCCTCCTCAAAAATAAATGTACAAATAAGCCATCTTGAGGCTTTGAGTTCACAGTTTTGAAATCAAATGCACAATCTAAATTTAACATTTATTCAAATTTACATTTATCCAAAATTTAACATTAATACAATGACCTTTAGGAATTGATAACTTAAAATGTTGTGACTGAAGTAAGTTGCCTATTTAAATATCAACACAGTAACACAAAGCATACTTGATTTTTTTTTTTTTAAAGATTTTATTTATTTATTTGAGACAGTGAGAGAGGGAACACAAGCAGAGGGAGAGGGAGAAGCAGGCTTCTGCTGAGCAGGGAGCCTGACATGGGGCTCGATCCCAGGACCCTGGGATCCTGACCTGAGCCAAAGGCAGACGCTTAACGACTGAGCCACCCAGGCGCCCCAGCATACTTGATTTAAAAAGGTATTCAAGATTGAAATGCAGTGCAAAAGATATGTGTGTGTGTGTGTGTGTGTTACTTTCAACACTTTTCATTTACTTAGTTGGAATGTGACAAACGTAGGTATATTTAACCTGTTATTCCTAAACTACGCTAAAGCTTAAAACATGCAAACCTTAATCCACATAGAAAAATATAATTTTAAAATCCTTTTTAAAGATGGATAAATTGATTGCATATATCCTATTCTTAATATTTCTAAACATACAACTAACCAAAATAACTTAAGGTGTTTCAGCACAACCTCTCTCATGGATGGCTACAACTCTGATCTCCATCAATCTCTCTACTGCACATGAACTCTGAGAGTCAGTCCTCAATTTCTAATTTGTCGGTTTTCTCTGGCCATCTAGTTCTGAAAATCCTACAGGTTTCTCAAAACTCAGAGTACATACAAAGTACAAATTATCTTCATATCAAATGTACTTTTCAAAATTTCTTAAGCATTTCTATTAATGAAACTACTATTTGATTTCTGAGTGCCACTGGCCACATCCCTTCAATTCATCTTGCATAGATTTCCTCTCATTTCTGAGACAAGCTTGGTACAAACTTGCATTACTTTTCACCTAGTCTACTGAACTTTCTGGATTCTCCTTCCAGCAACTCGTCCTATATAAAGAACTAGCAAAATCAGTGCCCCTGAGCTCTGCTGCTTTCCTTCATCTTCAACCTCTTCCTCTAAACTGGCACTTCCCATCAACATTTAAGCAAGCTCAAATTACCCCGTTTTTAAATGAAACCTCGTAAAATTACTTCCCCTCCAGCTACGGCCTTCCCTCTCTCCCCATCCTCACAGCTATTTCCTAAAGAGATGTTACACTTACTAACTTGCTTCCCTACCACCCATTCACTAATCCTCCAAAAACTGGCAGCTGCTCTTATTACTGCACATAACCTGCTCATCCTAAATTTGCTGATGTTCTAAAACTTGTTGCTTAAGCTTATAAATACATCCCAGTCCTTCTCTTACTTGACCTCTTGATCATTAAATGCCGTTGATCACCTTCCTCTCCTATCTTCTCTTATTTTTCAGGACTTCTCACTCCCTGCTTTTGTCTGTGCCTTTTTGACTTCATTTTCTCAGTGCCCTATGTAAGCTCCCTCTTCTCTGCCCACTGTTTCAGATACTGGCATTCTCCAAGCTACTTACTTGGACTTTCCAATCTCACTCTACACAATCACCTTAAGACATCTATTACCATGGCTTCATTCATCATTTTTAGTGATTCTCAAAGGGAAGGAGAGTATATCAGAAACACATGAGAAGGGCTTTCAGAACCTATTTTCAGTCAGGCTTGCAGATTTGGGTATGCCTCATTCCATCTCCCTGTACCTCCCACAATTACTAATGGCACAGAAGAAAAGATTAAGAACCACTGTTCTACACACTCATGATTAAAAATCTGTATGTTCTAAACCATCTGTCTCTTATAGACCTGATGTCCAGACCCTATCTCCAACTGGACATTTCTCTTCAAATGCCCCAGGACACAACAAATTAAACACTTCCAAAACTAAATTTATTTTCCTACCAAATCTGTTCTACCTCCAATGAATGATATTACCAGCTACCCAATTATCCAGAGCAGAAACCTGTTGTCTTTAATTTCATCCTCTCCATTTCACCCATTCTAAGTCCTGCAATCCAATAATGTCATCAATTCTTTCTACTAAATTTAAATCTTTCATTTCCCACTGTTAGTACCCTACTCCAGCTACTATACTATCCTCTCTTTTTCTAGAATTCTTCAAATGCCCTTAACTGGTCTCTTACCTCCCTCCATATATCTCACTCCCTCTGTTCCAGTCATAAAGTTTTCAGTTTCTCCAAAGTATTATGGAGTGTAAGTGCTTTATCTACCCCCTTTCTCTGGCTAACTCATCCTATGTTTCCACAGCTGATCATATAGAAACATCCAGTATCTAACACTGGTGATGTTCACAGTGCAATCTGGCAGTTTCTTTGCCCAGTGGTATCTTCACAAGACCAGTTCTGCAACAGGATTTGTGGCCTTACTCCTGCATCCCAAGCCTGGTACACTGGCTTTCTTGAATTTTTGAGCTATGAAATATCCTTTTTTACTTTAATATGTTCTTCATTTAAAGGTTCACTAAGAAAAGCAGTGATACATTTTTCCCCAGTCATTGCGATGTGTTTGTTCCAACTCATCTATATTCTCTCACTCAGATTCTCTTTCATTGTTAAAGAGTGTTAAAAACAGAAGCAAGTTCCTCTTGGTATACAATTAGTAAATGTGTCTATTAGTTATATATACTGAGTTTACCCCCACAATATCCTTTTAATAAATTGCTTTTATGCTTAAAATTTTTTAGCACTGGTTTTGTTGACAGCAAATGGAAAACCACTTAGCCCTTATTCCTACCTATATCCAGTCAAGGAACATCTATCAAATTCTTTACCTCCTTAGAAATCTGGAAAGAACAATTCTCAGAGTCTCTCAGTCACTTGCATTAGTAATTCTAAGGTATCAATGGGCCTAAATTTTTTCATATGTTTAATGATGATGATTCCCCATCAAGTTTAAAGTACGAAACATAACAATATAATTATCACATAATAGTCTATGACAAATTTAAATTAAGGCCATCATCTACAGACTATAAGAAATGTACATTAATTACGTAATAAATAATATTAAAAGCTTTTAATTATGTATCTGTCACCATCCAGGAAAATAAATTTCAAACCAAATAGGCAAAAGATGAAAACATTTTGGCAGGAGGAAGAATGAAAAAAGATGAGGAAATAGAAATATAGGTTCTACTCAATTTAAATGGGGTGCTAAATCAGTTCTGTGGTACATAAAAACAATATTAGTGGAAAATATATTCCTAAACCAATTCACAAAAAATACTATGTGATGTATATGAAGAACAGTCCTAAAATAATCACTCTACACAGTGATTCTGTAGGAAAAGGCATTCAGATTTCTAACCATACATACTAGACATTTTTATCTCAATAAGGCCACTTCCCGTAACTTGTAACTACACACATGTGGAGCTGAAATTGCCACAACTGCAACTTCTACATGGTAAGATTTATATGCAAGAGTATGATCCCTCTTCCTTTTCTTAATCACCATCAAAAAAGTTTGCCTGGCCTTGGAATGAGTTTAATAAATATTGATCTGCAGTAGCATATATTTTTGCCACACCTAAGCAGCAAGGTAAGAAAGAGATGACTTCATGTAGGAAGTTCCAGTAAAAGCAAAGAGTATTGGTATGATGAAAAGAAAGGTGCTAAGTAGTGACTCAAAGAAGAAAGGGGTTTTCTCTGAACTAGTCAGGAGAGACCTGGGAGATGAAGAGCCACAATTTTAAGTGGCTTATAATTTTCATTTATAAACAATCTTACATCCTCTATAAAAAACTCTTAAAAAATATTTTTCTTCTGTTGTTGTTAATGATAGCTATTAGAATTCCTCAATGAGAATTTAAAAGGTGTGAGGGAAAGGTGGCATCCACATGAAATGCTTTCCTGTATAATCAAAGATGATATAAATTAAGAAGGGTACAAAGTATAATGTTCCTCACACCTCTATAACAAAAAGTCCTCTGAACAATCAAGTTAACAGATGCAGAATTTGATAGTTTCAAAGAACAAATAAAAAAATGCAAAGTATAAGTAATCACAAGTTTACTAAACCACATTAGGTACTATTATTTAACAAGCTGGACTTTTATTCATGATTGATGAGGCATGATTTTTTTTTCCCCCACTAGAAAAAAAAGATAACAAGGCAAGACCACAAAGAAAATGGGATTTAAAAGTTAGCTGAAGTAGTTAGGAAAAAAAATATATTTTATTGGCCTACATGTATTTTCCATTATGGATGAGAACCCCTCACTTCCTGATATTTGCAGCCAATGCTCCCTCTTTCAAATTATTGTGAGCTCTCTCCGTTCCTCTAAACCTTCATATCACTTTGCACCTCCAGGAGAGCAGTTTTGCTGCCCCAGCTTGTGATTTTATCGTCTAAACTCTTATCTTCTCTCATTTAGAAATTTTAGCAAAAAGTCTGTCTCCTCTAAGAAAATTTTAAAAGCAAATGAATCACTTCCTGTAACATAAATCCTTTTGATTAAAATATTATAAGCAAACCAATATCAAATTCTTATATGTTAAATACATATCAAGCACAAGTTTATAAAAGTTTGTATAAACTTATTTCATTATCCAAACTACAAAAAAAAAATCTTCAGGAATTAAAGCATTACTCAATCTGAGAACCCCAAGATCACCACCCCAACCAAAGGCAGACACTTAATTGAGCCACCCAGGCACCACTAAAGCATTACTTTCAAGAGTTTAGGGGCGCCTGGGTGGCTCAGTCATTAAGCGTCTGCCTTCGGCTCAGGTCATGATCCCAGGGTCCTGGGATCGAGCCCCGCATCAGGCTCCCTGCTCCGCGGGAAGCCTGCTTCTCCCTCTCGCACTCCCCCCTGCTTGTGTTCCCTCTCTCACTGTGTCTCTGTCAAATAAATAAATTTTAAAAATCTTAAAAAAAGAAAGTTTAAATGAACCAATTAAGACTGCAAATGACAGGGGCGCCTGAGTGGCACAGTTTAACATGTGACTTCATTTCTCTTGATTTAGACTCAGGTCATGATCTCAGGGTCGTGGGATAAAGCCCCACGTCAGGCCTAGCGCTGGGCATGGAGCCTGCTTAATACTCGCTCTCTCCCTCTCTGCCCCTCCCCCCTAAAATAAATAAATAGATCTTTAAAAAAAAAAAAAAAAAGACTGCAAAAGATACAAAATACCCCCAAAAAAGCTACCTTAGAAAATATGTACTTTTGGGGCGCCTGGGTGGCTCAGTTGGTTAAGCATCTGCCTTCAGCTCAGGTTACCCCAAGGTCCTGGGATCAAGCTCCGAGTAGGGCTCCCTGCTCAGTGGAAAATCTGCTTCTCCCTCTCCCTCTGCCTTTCCCTCTGGCTTGTGCACGCGTGCTCTCTCGCTCGCTCACTCTCTCAAAAAAATAAAGTCTTAAAAAAATAAATAAAAGATTTATTCTCCTTTAAAAAAAAAAAAGAAAATATGTACTTACAGGAAATTCCTTTCCCCTTGAGTGACAGAACAAAGTGTCACCAGTAACACAAATAGAGAACCACACATTACCTTTTCTCTTAAGAGAGACCAAAGGATCGGAGGAATAAACTTAATCACCATCCCTTAACTCAACCCCAATAAATGCAGGACCATATTCTTTATAAATGTTTGCCACTCTTGATATGAAAATAAGAAGAAAAGATTAATGAATAGTACCTCTGGGTGGCAAATCCATATCCCCTGATGTTAGTCCTATCAAGTTAGGCCTTTGTGCGTGTACTCTGTGTCTATACATAGGTCTGGAAGTGTTTGTTATGCTTGGGGCTTCAGGATTGTAGCCATCTGTGTCATATGTATCTGGTAATACAAAAACTGTAATTAAAAAACAATTATAAAACGCCACTTGGTAATTTTTTTATATTGATAATAGAAAAAGTAAATTATATAACATTACTAATACAGAGCTAACATGCTATATATATAAAAAAGAAAATTGTTTTATAAAAATAAGTTAAATAAAAAATATAACTTAGTCTTTTAAAAATCCTGAGGACTTATATTTAATATACATTCACCATTTCTACATTTTATTCTACATTTTAGTGAGAAAAATAAACCTAATAGAGCTAGTCACTCTCTAAAAATTTTTAAATTCCTTATCTAAACTCTGCTCTAAAACCTCACTACATTATGAATATAAAGAGGGGCAAAACTGCACCTGCAGTAAAAAGAGAGGGTGGAGCAGGTGGAGGCTGGTGATGAATGCCAGTTGTTACTACAGTAGGAACAGAACTGGTTGCAGAGTTTGGGGGAGCATCCATGCCAGATGGCTGCAAAGGAGGAAGTGGAGGTGGTGGTCCTGTCAAAACCAAAGAATAAGAAATATCATCTGAAAGCAAACAAATAAAATAAGTTATTGTATATCCAAACATGATATTCTCGTTTATCAGCAAAATTATAGTATCTATAAACTCAAGTTCTTACAACTATATTAGTTTTTCAGGGTAAAATATCCTTTTACTGTATTCCAAAACAGGTTTGTCTTAAGCCATAAAGAACTACTGAGAGCTGGGATTCATCAGGGATGTGCTAAGTCAGGGCCACTCCACACCACAGTAAACCATAGGTTTGGCAAAGCCTGCAAAGTGGGGATATATTCTAAATAAGAATATCTTGCCCTTGGTTTCTAGCAGGCATCTTTAGGATTATTTTAGGTATTTTTAACAAAAGCAAGCATCAAACTATTAACTTTTAAAAAGGCTATAAATGGACAGATAATAGGTACTGGCAAACAAATAGATTTACTTACCTGTGACAGGTGGTAGGCTAGGTGGTAATGGGCCTGGTGGTGGCACTGGGGGTCTCAGATTCACAGGTGGAGGTGTAAGAATTGGCGGAGGTGGGGGAAGCCCAGGAGGAGGTGGTCCTTCAACAACTGGCGGCTGTGCTGGGAAAGGCAGCATGCCGGGAAGATTTACATCTTCTACAACTACAGGGTCACTTCCATGGTCAAAAGGGCACATGTCTCCTCTCATACAGAAACCCTTTTCTGTAAGGAAGAATAATTAGATATAGGGAAAGTGTCAGATATATAAATTTTCTATAAGTTAACAAAGGTAAGATATTTAAAAATAAGAATATTTTTAATATTGGGCCAGTATAACTAACCATAACACAAGAGCTAATTTCCAGTAACATAAAATACTTACAAAGTAAATATAGCTAACATACACATTAAAAAAGTATATCCACAAATTAAAATGAGTATACCTAGCTAGCAAGAGGATATAAAACTTTTATGTATTTTCTATCATTAGAAGCATTTCCTTATTTTTCATTTCCTTTATTTAAATCTCACTTAAAAGGGACGCCTGGGTGTCTCAGTCATTAAGCGTCTGCCTTCGGCTCAGGTCATGGTCTCAGGGTCCTGGAATCGAGCCCCGCATCAGGCTCCCTGCTCAGCGGGAAGCCTGCTTCTCCCTCCCCCACTGCCCCTGCTTGTGTTCCCTCTCTAGCTGTGTCTCTCTCTGTCAAATAAATAAATAAAATCTTTAAAAATAAATAAATCTCACTTAAAACTTTCAGAATATTTCAATTATAGTACAATTTACAAAAACTTTTACAGTAAAACTTTGAGAGTCTTCATCTATAAAATTCTTACAGGTGATACTCACATTTCTAGGTTCTAATTACATGCCAATAACCACTGATTTCTAAAGAAGTGAGTTTTGTCAAGAATGTTTCAGTAGCAGATTCCCAGATAAACAACTCAGTAGATACTACTCCTGTTTGGTAAACTCCAAAAATATATTAAGACTTATGTGTAAATAAGCACTATCTTTAGATGGATATACAATAGTCAGTAGTGACTAATGAAGGTTTAAATAATACTGAGGAATTCAAGAAGTGCCTAAGACTAACTTACCACCATTAACTGGGCCTTCTATGAATAACTGTGCAACCTAAACTTGCAGAATTTAGCCAAATGGAATACTAATTCAGTACTTCAGGAAACAGTAAAAGACTTACCATCATAGTCTCTACACCGTTTCTTTGGCATTGGTGGTCTTACATATGAGTTATGGTCCACTTGGTCTTCATGAAATTCAGACCAACTTTCAGTAGTGTTATTACCATGATGAGTAGGAGCAATTACTGTAATAGTGCTGCTCAAAGTAGGTACAGGGTAGTGACCAGATGAAATATTAGGTACCGAAGAGACTGGAGTATAATTGTTTTCTAGTGGATCTGTCCTATCCAGGTCGTATTTAGGTTTTACTAGATCCCTTTCTGCAACAAAATATAAATAACTTATAAAATTATACACTATAAAAAAAAGTCCTAGATCTACAAAACAGTGGTATTTTTGCTAAACAGAGAGAAAATGTTCAAATTGTACACAAGCCTCCTTTTCTTTTAAAAACTACTAAATGAATACACAATGTTCCAAGATAAGCTATTTCTTTTCAGTATGACCTGAACTATAAAAAATCACACAAAATTTGCTGTACTTAATGAGCTTTTTTTTCTTGGAGGGCTGTTTACAGAAAAGAGATCTTTTATTTTCTTCAGTGCAATCTTAGTATGCCTAACGTCAGCCCACAAAACAAAATATACAATAAAAGTATGGTTATTTTTTCTGTGATGAACATTTAGTTGTAATCCACTCAAAGATCCTAGCATGGCTTTTTAAATAAATAGTATACACTATTAATAGTATTAAATAGTGAAAACTATTTGTTGAAGATGGAAACGGATGAGCTAAGAGGAAGGAAAAGGAGTTCATATTAAACATGAACAAAACCATTAACTGGGCTGTGTTTGGTCCCAAGGAGAGAGAAAAGGTATGAAGAAGATTAGTTAAGTGAAGCAATGTGCAGAAGGCCTAGATCACAGAGAGGGAAAACTCTTAAGAGTAAGAGAGAAGTATAAAGCTTATACAAAGCCCGTAAATATTATTTCCCAAAGACTAAAGGTGACCGTACAATAAAAGCTAAAAGAGTAGCAAAAAATCTAAGTTTGAGTAAAGGTGTTTTACTTGAAGTATTTTAGTTGTTTTATTGCCTCCAGTATCTTCCTTTAAATAACACACATTGGAAGAAAAATTATACATGTTGGAAATGACATGCTCTTGCAAATATACTCATCTGAAATGAGAATTTTAACTGTTTTCCTAATTTTAAAATATAACTCTTATATAATAAACAACATATTTATACAATTTAATGAATTTTATCTATGTATATACGTGTGAAACCAATCATAACCAAAATAATATAGATACATATTCATGACCCCCCAAAATATCCTTGCACTCCTTGATAATTCTCTGCCCTTTATTCCATCCAAGGCAACCACTGATTTTTTTCTGTCACCAGAGATTAGTTTGCATTTTCTAAAATTTTATATACATGTATATTCTTTTTTGTCTGGCTTCTTTCACTCGGCATTATTATTTTGAGATTCATCCTTTTGTGACATATATCAAAAGTTCCATCCTTTTCTTCCACTGTATGGATGCATCAGGTTATCCATTCACATGACATTTGGGTTGTTTCTAGTTTTTGTCTATTTCAAAGGAAGGTACCATGATCATTTGAGTACAGTTCTTGTGTGGAAATACACTTTTGTTTCTCCTACATAAATACTTTGGAGTTGGGATGGCTGGGTCATTTGGTAGGTGTAGATTTAAATTTAAGATACTGTGAAAGTGTTTTCCAGAGAGTTCCAGTCTATCTCTGTCCTTACCAATATTAGATAAAGTCAGCCTTTTTACTTTTAGTCATTGTAATGGGCATGCAGTGGTGACTGACTGTGGTTTTAATTTACATGAAATAAAATTTTTAAAAGAAATTTTTAAAAAAGCATTCACTTGGACCACAAAATACATCAAAATAGAAAAAATGAAGACAACACTGACAAAAATTAAAAACCATTTTTAAAACCCTCAAATACAGCATATTCACAATAGAAGAATGCTAATCAGAACATACATATATATGGATTATTTACCCCGGCTTCGTGTTCTGCTTCTGCTTCTAGTCCTGCTTCTATCCCTATCCCGGTCACGAAGCCTCTCTTTACTCCAACTTCGACTCCGACTCCTGCTGTAACTTCGACTTCGGCCTCGTCTTCTATTGTACCGGTCTCTATATGAATCTCTTCGAGGAGGGTTTCGATCATAATCTCTTTTGCGAGAACGATCATCTTTTTTCCTCTCATCACGACTTCTAAAAAAATAAATGAGCACTTTTAGGAAAGTAAGTGGATACAGAAAATACTCATTAAATGCAAAAGTCACATTTAATTCCTGTAAACATCATGATTCTTTATTCCACCATATACAGGAAACTCAAATTGAAAAACTGAACATGATCTGCTCAAGAACTCTAAAAACCCCTTTTAAGGACAGTCTCAATCCCTAACCTTATACACAAAGACATCTATACATCTGGCATCGGTACATCACGTCTCCTAGCACATGCTGTCCTGTACACACATAACCTCATACTTACAGGCATGTAGCGCATCTACTGCCCACACTATTTTTCCCACTAAGGCTTCAAAAGCATTTAATTTATTCACACTAAAGGGAAACTTCATGCAAAAAAAGTTCTCACATTAAGATTTCACTGGAATTTAAAGTTAGAAATAAATATAATAATAATGTTTGCCAAGCACTATTCTAAATCTCAATTCCAGGACCTACAAATGTGACACAGATATTCTTAGTAAGAAAGGAACTGAGTTACACTTTCCTAGACCAAAAGAAGAGTAGACATTACTTGCCCCTAGGCGAAAGATAATCAAGTCTAAGCATTCATATAAAAGATATCCATGTCTAAGCACTGAACATGGTTCAATTAATCAATCACCTATTTTCTCTGTATCGGGAACTTGACTGGGGAGGACTATGATTTAGTCTTCTGGAAAACTTCTTCTCTCGCTCTTCCTCCTTTGTGATCTGATATACAAAGAAAAATTTGCATTAAGTTTAGCAAGTTATTCCTTGCCATGTTACTATCTGAATGATTTAACTGATACTAAAACACAGACGTGAAATTGTTCTCTTCTAAAAGTATTAAAAAAAATAAATTTCTCTTCTAAGTACAATCATTTAATTTAACCATAGAAGACAGGTTTGCTGAAAGTTGAAGTGAATGCTAAAGAAACTCAGAAATGTTTATCTTAGATAACAGTGGTGAGAAAACACTTAGGCAAATGTCCTCATTTTAACATTATTAGTAGAAAGTCAATTTTAGTTCTTCTTTCAAAAGTCCAACATATACTCATGTTTTGGTTTCACGGATTTGGCCAGGCACCACACACATCAGGAAATAGAGCAGAATGCATTAGAACTAACCAAGTCAGAAAAAGAGATGTAAGAGAAAATGATATGTAAGGTCAAACAGTTCTCCAGTTCTCAGCAGTATGGCAGCTATATATTCCTCTTCCCTACAAGGGGCCTCCATTCGTATTATATTATTAATAGAAAGCAGCCCTGGAAAACATTCCCTTGATCAGTGCGCTACTTTTCTGAGGCCAGAATTTTCCATACTATACTGTCTAGAACACCGTTACATAGGACATTAATAGGTGTTACTAGAAAAAAAAAAAGATTTAGAGGATAAACAAATACAGGAAATACTGAACCTATGGCTTCTGTAACTATGATAGGACTCAAGATTTTGCATTGTTAATAAGAACTCTAAGACAATCTGATGCAGACAGTCTACAGGATAATAAAACAGTGGCCCAGTTTATGCCAGTTGTTCCAATACCCCTCTGGGTAAGAGCCTCTTACGGTCAGAAGTGTCCAATGTTGGGTGATAAATTAAATGGAAATCCTATTAATAGGCCAAACTCTGAGAAACACTGCTTAAAAGCCTTTAAGTCTTTTTTTCTTATACTTTCATTCTCCTCTTCCCACCCATTTCGACCCTTCCCTACCCCAAAAAAAACAGGGTACAATGCACCTTTTCCCTTCTACTTGCTTCAACACACACTCGCAAATAATTTATGTTGACAGATCATCATATCCCACAGTACATGCTCAACTGGGAACTTTTACTATACCCACGGTATTTTAAATCCAGGTTGTCATCTGACATTTTGACAGTTCTGAAAGATCAGGGATAAATATCCTTCACAATTGGTCAAGAAAACTGTGGAGAAATATTATTATGTCAATAGACGTTAAGACTAAGGTTTTGCCACTAACTCGTTTTGGGGGAAGACTTCTTACTGCTTCTCAAATCCAGAGAAGACTACTTAAGATTTTCTAAGAATTAAAATATGATTTGCAATAGCAAAAATCTAGAACTAACCCATCAAACTTCCACTGGTGGGCAAAACTTAAATAAATTATTGTGCATCTCTACGTGGTGTAAGCAGTTGCCAACACAATAGCAACTACCCCTTTCTTCCTTATTAATAGAACCCCTACTGTAAGGTATGAAATATGCACAAAATTATTTCTGGTCTTCTCTTTCACTGAGAAGTGATGGCGTGTTTTATGCGTATGTCTGTGTAACTATATACATGTGCATGTGTGTAAGTATGTTCAGATACAGAATAAAAATATATTTGAGAATTACTATGTTATACATATGTTTATGTTATTACATAATAAACAAATATTAGTTACATAATCTGTAAAGAAAAAAAGAGTATGAAGGGAAAAAACCCAATCACATCTTCTACCACACAACAATCTCTCAACAACAATAGGAACTGCCATTTATTGAGAACATACTATGTGCTACACACTATGCCAAGTGCTCTATAGACAACATTTTATTATTCCTCACAACAACCCTATAGTGTTTCCATTTCACAGCTGAGTAAACTAAGGCTTGGCAAAGTAACGTTTTCAAGGTCATAAAGCACTGACTGATAAAGCCAAAATTTTAACCAAGATTTATTTGACCTAAAGCTAGGCCAACTGCAGAAATATAACAGCTTAACTGTCAATTAGTTTTGCTCGAATTACAATCTTTAAACATCAAATTAAGAAGATCTGAATTTTTATGATTATTAAGAATGGCAATCTTGTATAAAAGGTGAATTCTTCTAAAACTCTTAAAGGATGAAGTCACGCCCACTGCCCTGTCAAGGTCCTTTTATGAGACTACCTTAAAAACAGCCCCCTACAAAATTCAGGCAGGACAGAAGCAAATAGATCTAATGTCAATCTAATTATTTTCACAGAACACAGTAATGCGAGTCCACAGCTGTAAGATACTATACAGAAAAGAGTTAAAAAGTAAGTCTGAGACTGTCATCCTTAGAAAGGCCTGCTTATTATAAGGTATGCCCTTGGCTGGTGTCTGTGAAGTCTGATTTCTGGAAGGTTCCCATCATTCCCTGATAATAATAGCTCACTATATGCCTGAATTATTTGTGTCAACAATATGGTTTTATGCTGAACACATGCTTTCCTCTGGGAGTTTGGAATTTTGGTACCTAGTAGACAGAAGGTGCATCTGTGACCAGCCCTCAATAAAAACCCTGGACACTAAGTCTCTATTGAACTTCCCTAGTTCAAATGTGTTGAAACTACTTGTTACGTGCATCCTTTGTGACTCTCCTAGGAGAAGCCTCTAGAAGCTTATGTGTTTTCCCCCAGACTTCGCAACACCTACTTTTTCCTTTTGTTGATTTTGCTGTAAAGTCATAGCCATGAGTATGACTATGTGTTAAGTCCTATGACTGCTCCTAGGGATGGTCCTGAGGATTCTTGACACAAAGAAAGAAAGTAAACCTCAGTTTAATTATTCCTTATATGTTTTTAAAGAGCATCTAAAGTTTAACACAAATCCTTACCTCTTCTTTTTTTATATCTTTTTCTTGGTGCTGAAAAAATTCTACCTTTAAGCTTCCTGATGATGGCTGCTCTGGAGGAGGTAGATAACTCTTTGTATTCACAGCATCAAAAAGCTTTTCCACAAATATCTGCGTCTCTAACAAAAAAAAAAAAATCAAAAAACCAAAAACCCACAGATTAAAGACATTTGCTAAGATATGAATTCTCCCCTTCTATACATCAGAGTTCAATATGATGAAATACACACTGACTTTTATAACTCTAGAAATTAAACTAAGACCAACAGCTTCCCAACCAGTGTGTCATGACACAAATCCTATGGTAATACTAAACCCATTCAATTTCAGGGTAGTGGAACTAGGATGGCCAGAGTTTCTGGGCCAGTGGCTTCCAGCCATGACTAGTCTCCATGTACCCTGCGCCCAGAGTGTCAAACACAAATATTATTATCTAGATGGTAGCAAAGTGAAAAAAGTTAGAAACACTATCTAGACAACATCCCAAGTAGTTTCTTAAGCAGTACGATTTTTAAATAAACAAGCAGTCATTTACTTAATCTTTTAAGGAGAAATATCGGCTTCCTTTAAGAAAGAGAATAAAGATATTAATGAAAAAGGTTTTCATTATAAATAAGCTATAGCTATAATCAGTAATAATACTGTTTATTCAACTTTGTTATAATTAGAGTCTGTTCTCTTATTGAGTTCCTTTAAATTATGGAAAATCTTGCTTTAAAGGATTTATTAAAATAAACTACTATTTTTAAACCAAAGATCTTACCTTTTTGAAGAAATACATCCAGTTGATCAATACATAATGCCTTTAACTCTTTCTCACTTTTGTCTTTCTTTACCAAAGCGAGAACATATTTTGCTAGGGCTGATGGATCTGCATCACAACTGAAGAAAAAAGCAATGTTGAAGGAAATTTAGCCATAAACAATTGCACATTCTAAAAATTCCAGTTACAAACAGACTTAGTTGGTATGGTTAACTGAATTATTATATGTAAAAAGCACCTACCCCATGGAAGGCAATGAAGAAATATAAGTTCTCCCTTATAGTAATATATTTTACATGACATACATAGCCATTATTCCGTATCCTTCCACATTTGTACTAATGTATGTATTAAACTCGGTAGGCTTTATTATTATTAAAAAGAGAAGTTATAACAAAGTAAAAACAGTACCAGAGCATCAAAAACTATTAGCGTGGAACCAATAAAAACACAAAAAGTGCCCTCCCCTTTCCCCTACCCCAAGAACTAAACAGCTAGAAAACCCAGACAGAGAGGGCACTAAAAGAAAACGTGAAAACATACAACTTTAGAAACAGACCCAAATAAATAAATATATGAATTTTGATTTTATAAAGGTGGCGTCCAAGTCAATGTGCAAGAGATGAACTATACAATAAATGATATTGAGACAAGTGGCAGTTTTTAAAAACTAAGTTGGTTCTATAACTGATTCCATACACTACGAGAAATCTAAAACTGAAAAATATGAAACCACTAAAGTATTAGGAAAAAAACAAGGAAGTTATTTTATAACTCTGGAGTAATGAAGACTTTCTGAATAATGACAGAAATCTGTATTACAAGAGTAATTTGATTATACAAAGGCAAAAACTTCAGAATGAAAAGTCAAAAGACAAATAAAAAAAGTTCAAATAATTTAACCCATTCCAAAAAGTGAATTCTCCTAATACGTAGTTTCTATCAATCAGTAAGACCAAAATCCTAAGAGAAAGAAGATAAAGAATATGAATAGATACTAAAGAGAAAAAGTAAGTCTAAATATGAGTAAAAATACACCCTCATCCGTAAGACAAATTCACTTAAGCTATATTGAAATACCATTTTTCAGCTATAAAAGCTGGCAAAATCTAAAGATATGAATATATATTCTGCAGATAAGGTATGGGGATACACACAGTTTTTAAACACTGTGGCTGCTGTGAGGAGACTGGTAGCATACAATCACAAGTGCAAATGACCTAGCAATTCTATTTCTCTGAAGTTACTTTACAGACATACTTACATATTCAAAGTGACACATACACAGGTCATTCATTGTCACACTGATTGCAAAATAAAAAATGTGCAAAATGTCCATTTACAGAGGACTGGAAAAAGAAATTATACTAATCTACACAAGGGAATGGAATACAGCAAAAAGACAAAAAAAGAATGAGGAAGTGTTCCTATCACAGAGAAATTTTCCTTATCAATTTGTTATATTCAAAAAGCAAGGTAGAGTTTATAGCAGCAATGTCCACAATAGCCAAACTATGGAAAGAACCTAGATGTCCATCAACAGATGAATGGATAAGGAAGATGTGGTGTACATATGCAATGGAATATTATGCAGCCATCAAAAAAAATGAAATCTTGCCATTTGCAACGACATGGATGGAACTAGAGGGTATTATGCTACGCAAAATAAGTCAATCAGACAAAGACAAGTATCATATGATCTCACTGATAATGAAGAATTTGAAAAACAAGACAGAGGATCATAGGGGAAGAGAGGGAAAAATGAAACAGGACGAAACCAGAGAGGGAGACAAACCGTAAGAGATTCTTAATCTCAGGAAACCAACTGAGGGTTGCTGGAGTGGTGGGGGTTGGGAAGGATGGGGTGGCTGGGTGATGGACACTGGGGAGGGTATGTGCTATGGTGAGTGCTATGAATTGTGTAAGACTGATGAATCATAGACCTGTACCTCTGAAACAAATAATACATATGTTAATAAATTAAAAAAAAAAAAAAGCAAGGTAGAGAAAACCGGCTATCATGTTACCATTTGTGTGGGGGAAAGAGAAGAAATTATATATTTAGATTGGCTTATACGTGAATAATAAATATGTGGAAGTACAAACAAGTAATTATGGTTATTGCTTTTTTTTTGGATGGGGGGAGATAGTGGGGGCTAAGTGAAGGAGGAACAGAGTGAGCAAAGAAAGTTTTTGATGCCTGAGCCATGCCCAATCCTGACAAAAAGCCAGATAATTGTTTTTCAACTAAGCTAAGACTGTTACCCATGTAATTAATGGTCATTTTACAAGTTAGGCTAAATAAGAATAAAATAGTAGCAACAGCCAAGCACTAACATCTATCTCCCGAACACCTAGTTTGTGCCATGAACTGTACATATTGTATTTATTAGCTCTATTCTGTAACAGTTCTACAAAAGTATAGCAGTAACCTACATCACTGAATCAAAAAGTACATCTTTAAAAAAACAATGAAGAGGGCGCCTGGGTGGCTCAGTCGTTGTCTGCCTTAGGCTCAGGTCATGATCCGAGGGTCCTGGGATCGAGCCCCACATCGGGCTCCCTGCTCAGTGGGAGGCCTGCTTCTCCCTCTCCCACTCCCCCTGCTTGTGTTCCCTCTCTCACTGGCTGTCAAATAAATAAATAAAATCTTAAAAAGAAAAAGACAATGAAGAGCTTTGGTTGCACAGTAGAAATAGAAAAACCTGACTGCAAGTGAATCAACAGGCGTAATTCAACCATTTGTGTTTTGTTTTGTTGTATTATAAAGGCTACACAGATAAATTTAATACAGCGTCAGAACTGACAAACAGTCTATTAAGGAACTAGTATAGCATTTATCATATGTTCTAAGACTTCCTAGTCTACATTACTGTGGTCATTAAGTACGTCTTCCAATTCTTCACTCCTCCCTTTAGAAGGTAGAGCCTGATTCCCCACTCTTTGAGAGTAGGCTCAATTTAGGGACTTGCTTCTAAACAAACAGAACAGCAGAAGTGATGCTGTCTACCTTCCGAGACTAGGACATACAAAGTATTGTGGCATCATCCTTGCTCTCTCTCTGGAATCACTTCTAGAGACAACAGCTGCTATGTTCCAAGGACACTCAAGCAGCCTTATGGAAAGCACCATGTGGCAATGAAATGAGGGTTCCAGTCAACAGTCAAGAGGACTGAGGTCTCTTGCCAATAGCCATATGTGAATGAGCTTGGAAGCCGATTCTAGTCACGGTAGAACCTTGAGAAGACTGCAGAACTGATCTACAGCTTAACTGCAATCTCATGATTCAGAGCCAGAAATACTCCACTAACCTGCTTCCAAATTCCTGACAAAGGAATGATAAATGTCATGAGGTGATAAATGTCTGCTGTGTTACTAAGTTAAGCTGCAGGATAATTTGTCAGTAATCATACTTTTCTCATAGATCTATTTCCATTTATTTACAAAGACCTGAAATGGGCTATTAAACAAGAAACAAGAAAAAAATTCCAATTTAATGGTACATGAAAGATTTTTGTAAAGACTTTTTCTTTGAAATTTACTTCAATATACTTAAACTAACCTTTTAAAAAAATACAGACAAAAGATTTATGATTTTTTCATGTTTTATCATAATGAGCACAGAAATACTTACATCTGTGATGAAACAAGCACAAAGAAATGGGACAAATATAACCTCATGATGATCTATAGATATACTTACATCCAGCAATTTGGTAATACTGCATGACAAATCATGAAACAATGCCTATTCAGGTTAGGTAATCTGAATAAGCACAGTCAACTAAACACTTAACTAGACATCAAGCTAAACATACTTCAGTTTACTGAAAAATCACTGTGAAACATAATACTACCACTATGTTATACTGTCTTATTGCAATTGCTGTTAATAAACAAATTTAGAGGGGCGCCTGGGTGGCTCAGTCGTTAAGCTTCTGCCTTCAGCTCAGGTCATGATCCCAGAGTCCTGGGATTGAGCCCCGCATCAGGCTCCCTGCTCCACTGAGAGCCTGCTTCTCCCCCTCCCGCTCCCCCTGCTTGTGTTCCTGTTCTCGCTGTCTCTCTGTCGAATAAATAAAATCTTTAAAAATAGATAAATAAATAAATTTAGAGTCTCCACATTGAGTCCAAATCCTATAATTTAACTCAACATTGGTCTTATTGTGAATTTTCAACTTAATAATGGCCTTGCTAATGACTTAACTGTGACTTTACATTCCTCTTAACTAAACACCAAATCTATTCCACTGCCACTCCGTTACTTTTCTAAATATGATACTTTAAGTCAATTAAAATTTTAGCAGTTAAAAATATAGGGGTGCCGGGGTGGCTCAGTCGGTTAAGTGTCCGCCTTCAGCTCAGGTCATGACCTCAGGGTCCTGGGACTGAGCCCCACATTGGGCTCCCTGTTCAGCAGGGAGTCTGCTTCTCCCTCTCCCTCTTCCGCTCCCCACTATTCGAGCTCTTTCTCTCTCAAATAAATAAAATCTTTATAAAAAAATGCAGAAAAAGGCCTTTGTGATTTCTGTATTTATTATGGTTTATAGACCACAGTTTTATAAAACAACAAGACAGAATCATTCCTGAACAATCACTGCTCAACATCTCCTATAGGAAGCTATTGAACTGAATAAAAAAAAAAAACAATAAAATCACAACAACCATAGCAAATCAACTACCATACACAAAAATTCTAAATCCTTGACACAGTCTGAAAGGGCAAATTACTCTTTAAAATTTGTTAAACTGCAAATTATACAGGAGAAACAAGGTTTATAATTTCACATTTAATGGCAAAATGGGTGAATTTACATTTGAGAGGCAATTTTTCTTAAATCCGATAAAAAGTCATTTCATATTTAATATTTTTAAAAACAAAAAAAGATATGTACTTGTAAATTACAGCTGAGTAAAAGAATATCTGAACTATAGAAGTTTAATAATATGCCACGTTATAAATTAAGGAGAAAGGGTAAAATACGTGTTCTCTTTTCTACGTTTTAATTAAAAGTGCCAATGCTACTTCATCTGAACACCCAGCAACAACCTGCTATGCAAAATTAATGCAGTAAAAATGTTTAAATTACCTAATCAAAAGAAAATTGTATTAAGATAG